GATACCTTTGACTGATATTGCAAGGGATTCATACTTTGATCCTGGTGTGATTTTTTGTTTTTTAAGAGGATCTTTGAGTCTAGAATACGATTTGTATGCCGGGATATCTCTGCAGCTCAACAAAACTTCATTCAAAATGGTATTTAGACACATATTTGGCCTTTAACTAATATTGTGCTTCATGTGATTGGAGATAACACTAGTCCATATTGCAATTTCCAATTAAACACGACATATTATGCTCTGTCTCAGGTTCATATCTTATCTTGTCTTATCTGCCCGAGCCCCTCTCTACTCTACGTGCCCCTAAAGGTCTTGTTTTCTTGTTCTTAACAGTGTGAATGTTTTATATCTCATATATTTGCTTGATTACAATAAGGAAACCCCTTCCTTTAAAAGGATTATTTTTGGACTGAAGCTCGATGACTGTGTGTTCAAGTCTGCCAAAACTATATACACTGAGGGGGGGGGGGGAGACCAACCAGAGTCTGACTCAACAGTGTGACAGTTCATGAGTAAACTTTGATCTCTAAATAAATAAATCCTCTCCAAATGTTGTTTTTTTTGGATGTTTTCATTTGGATTTGCTATTATATGTGACGGCCCCCTGGAGGAGGGTTATTTGTTGGTCCGTCAGTATGAAAGCAGAGAGTCTGTGAGACAGTGGGGTCAGTGAATCATCTTCCTCCTCCTCTTCCTCCTGCTTCGTGTTTCGGTGTCCGACTGTGAGCATCTCGTCTCGGGGAGTCGCTGCTCCGTCACATCGCTGTGACTTCACTTCCTGCCATGACCTCACTTCCTGTCTGTCATGGCGGTAGTTTTCATCCAGAGAGGAGTCACTGCCTGTCGGGGTCACACCGTCTCTCAGAGCAACACACACCATCACATTTAGAAAACTATGCTTCTGTGTTTTGTATGTATTTATCAGAATCAGATTTACAGTATTGCCACAGAGAGAGAATTAGCTTTGGTGCATAATGATTCCTGTGTAAACAAATGGAGGAAAGTTCAGTTTAAGTATACAACTCGTAAAAAAACTATTAAAAAAAACATTATAAAATTAAGAAAAAGATAAAAAAAATAAAATATTATAAGAATATAAAAAATCATATGCACTTCAACGCACTTGCAGAAAACCTTGATATTGGACGTTCATGCAGACATGGAGTCAAAAAGACGTGTGTGTGTGTGTGTGTGTGTGTGTGTGTGTGTGTGTGTGTGTGTGGGTGTGTGGGTGTGTGGGTGTGGGTATACATGGGATTGCATCAGTGTGTGTGTTGAACTGCAGGAACAGCATCGTTGCTCTGACACTTTTAGATTCCTAATGTGTGTGTGTGTGTGTGTGTGTGTCTGTGTGTCTGTGTGTGTGTGTGTGTGTGTGTGGGTGTGTGTGTGTGTGTGTGTGTGTGTGTGTGTGTGTGTGTGTGTGTGTGTGTGTGTGTGTGTGTGTGTGTGTGTGTGTGTGTGTGTGTGTGTGTGTGTGTGTGCGCGCTCCCACCAGTGTGTTGTTAGTTACCGCCCCTGGCTATGAATGCAGAATGGCAAACAGGGACAGATTGTGTGTTTAACATAACATTTGATTTACAACTAAGAGAGGAAGGAGATTCGGAAATAAATGCAAACATGTGAAGGAACGTCAAGTTTGTGTGTGTTTTGGTGATTGTACGGAGATTGTTTTGCAGAACCGAGGTAGGGAGTTACGGCTCTAATAAGTTGTTCAATTGTTTAAATGTTTAACAATAATAATGTCCTAAAATGCTGCTTTCAGTGAGGCGGATAGAATTCTTGTTATTTTATACCATTATTTGTATTATGTTACACAGTCTCTCTACGTTGTATTATCGAAAAATCGACCGTTTTATATCGATATTCAATAAAGAACATTGTTATAACTTGCACCCTTAAAGCCAGAATGTGAGTTTGAATGAAATCCAAATGACTGGAAGTTGTGTTTCATAAAGGTGAGCCTTGTTGCAGAAGGCATGCACAAAAACAGTAGATCTCTGATTCCTGAGTACAGAGACATCGTTAGGTTTCAGAGAGAGGACGATGTGTGTGAAGCTGCAGCTGCTGGCTAATATAAAACAATGTGACTATGGCACTGCCTTTATTATACATTGCAATTAAAGCTTGTCACCTGACCCGCGGTGAGAAACTGATTCTGTATATTGTGAATGTCAGGTGATATTCAGGTAGTACTTTCTAGCGATGCATGCTTTACTAAAAGTCGAGTCTGGCAGAGGATGATGATGTTCTGATGGGGTCACCTGAAGTTTCCTGCCTGACCTCAGAGTGCTGCAGGCGGCCAGAGGAAGCTGCCAGTGAGCAGCCGGGATACAAATCAAACGCTCCTCACCTCGGATCAACTCTGCAGCTGGAGAGGAGAGGAGAGGAGAGGAGATAAGAGCAGAGGAGAGAGGAGATCAGAGCAGAGGAGAGAGGAGATCAGAGCAGAGGAGAGGAGAGGAGAGCAGAGGAGAGAGGAGAGGAGATAAGAGCAGAGGAGAGAGGAGATCAGAGCAGAGGAGAGAGGAGATCAGAGCAGAGGAGAGAGGAGATCAGAGCAGAGGAGAGAGGAGATCAGAGCAGAGGAGAGGAGAGGAGAGCAGAGCAGAGGAGAGAGGAGATAAGAGCATAGGAGATGAGATAAGAGCAGAGGAGAGAGGAGATAAGAGCAGAGGAGAGGAGAGCAGAGCAGAGGAGAGCAGAGCAGAGGAGAGGAGAGGAGAGGAGAGGAGAGGAGAGCAGAGGAGATCAGAGCAGAGGAGAGAGGAGATCAGAGCAGAGGAGAGGAAAGGAGAGGAGAGGAGAGGAGAGGAGAGGAGAGGAGAGGAGAGGAGAGGAGAGGAGAGGAGAGGAGAGGAGAGGAGAGAGGAAAAGGGTAAAGGGTTAGAAGAGAGGAGAACAAATGTGAGGAGAGAAGGGTAGGAAACGAGGAGAGGAATAAAATAGTAACGAGAGATGAGTTAAGAGAGGCAGAGAGGAATGTATGCCAAAAGGAAGGGAAAGAAGGGATTGAGAAGGAGAGGAAACAAGGGAGAGGAAGAGGAGAGGGGTTGATAAAAGAGGACATGGAAGGAAAGGAGGAAGAGAGGAGGAAAGAACAGCTGTGAGGAGAGAAAGTGAGATGATGAGAAAAAGAGCAGTTGATAAAACAAATGAGCAATAAGATGAGAGAGAAAGAGAAAGGGAGGAGAAGAAGGAGGAGATGTGGAGGAGAGACAAAATGATGGAGGGACGGAGGAGGAAGAAGGATGGTGTGAGGATGAGGAGGAGAGAGACAGTTGGCAATTATCTAGAGTACCTTCCTCTCAGTTTTACTGCAGAGCCTCATTGGGATGTGTGTGTGTGTGTGTGTGTGTGTGTGTGTGTGTGTGTGTGTGTGTGTGTGTGTGTGTGTGTGTGTGTGTGTGTGTGTGGTGTGTGTGTGTGTGTGTGTGTGTGTGTGTGTTGTGTGTGCTGTGTGTGTGTGTGTGTGTGTGTGTGTGTGTGTGTGTGTGTGTGTGTGTGTGCATCTGTGTGTGTGAATCTAATGCTTCCAAGTTTGGGGAAGTAAGCGCAACATTATCCCAGAATTATGTCAGTAGTTCTTCTTCATCTCTGACACACACACACACACACACACACACACACACACACACACACACACACACACACACACACACACACACACACACACACACACACACACACACACACACACACACACACACACACACACACACACACACACACACACACACATCCAGTGTCTCCCACACGCTCATGCTGGGTCTCTCACAATCACAACACACCCACTCACACACATACAGACACACTGCTGTTAGCCATGAGTCACTGTCATGTGACTCATAGTGTGTGTGTGTGTGTGTGTGTGTGTGTGTGTGTGTGTGTGTGTGTGTGTGTGTGTGTGTGTGTGTGTGTGTGTGTGTGTGTGTGTGTGTGTGTGTGTGTGTGTGTGTGTGTGTGTGTGTGTGCGCGCATGTGTGTGTGAGCTTGGCAGTGCCCACGTTAGCTTCTGTGCCAGCTCCACGGGTGTCTTAGATTAACACTGAAGAGCACCTTTGATGATCATACACACACACACGCACACACACACACACACACACACGCACACACACACACACACACTCATGATGCCCATCCTCCTCTCTTCTCCTCTCTTGTCTCCTTGTTTTATCTCTTAATTGATTGATCATATATCGTTGTTTCCTGTATCTGTGTTTGAAGGCGGAGTCTCTGATAATAAAGTGTCTCTTTTTGACAACATGCTGTCACCTGATCAGCGGAGTAGTTCGTCCGGATTTCTGTACTTTAGTCCAGTTTAATCCGGTTTGGTCTTTTTTTACTTTGGTTTGGTCCAGCTTGTCTTGTAAGGTCCAAATATGTCTGCTTTGGAGCTATTTGTATTTGTTGTGGTTTGTTTTATTCTGGTTTGTTCTGGTTTGTTCCGGTTTGATCCGGTTTGATCCAGCTTGTCTTGTATGGTCAGCTAAACTTTATTTATGGTTCTGTTTATTTTGGTTGCTCCGGTTTGATCAGGTTCTCAAAATCCTTCATAATTACCTTGTTTGGTCCGGCCTTTCTGAATGTTCAGTTTGATCCGTACCACAAGTGTGAAAACCCACCTTTAAGTCCAAATCTAAATACAGTTTTATCAGAGAGCCTTTCCTGATTCAACTCAAATTTAATTCATTTTAATCTGGTTAGTTTGAGTCTTGCTTGGTCTTGTTTACTTTGGTCATTTACGATAAAGTTACTTTGGTGTTTCTGGTTCTTTATATTCTGGTGGGGTCAACTTTAGTTATTTCAGAATGTGTTGTTTGTCAGAGGTTTGTCTGGTTTTCTCTGGGATGATAGAATGTATTTAATATGAAATTCAATACAGTAAATACATTATTATTATTATTACAAATACTCTATACTGTAATGATTAAAACATTTATGGATTGATTAGCAGATGATTAACCCTCTCTCCCCCTCTTTCTCCCCCCTCTCAGTGTGGAGGGCGACTCTCAGTGTCCGGAGGCGCTCACTTTTTCTGATTCGTCCTTCGGCCACCCGCCTCCCTTCCATCGATACAGTAACAGTCCTCTCTCCAGCCCTTGTGACCCCTACGGCTCCACCGGCGGGCCCCTGGGAGCCTGCCACACACAGGTATTGACCCTCAAAACACACACATGATAAACAGTCAATCTGATTGATCTGATTGATTGACATTCTCACAGGAAGTATCACAATGGCAGAGTAGAACTTAAATCCCATTTCTGCTTCAGGGAATTTGATCTTTTGTATCACACTGGTATCGTTTTGTTTAATTATCAAGGCCCATCATTCCAAGAAACATTATTTCCACGAATTTTAAGATGTTTTTGTGATGAAGCTCTAGATAAGACATAGTGGATTTATTAAACAGTAACATACACAACCCACAGACCCTACGAACTAAGCAAACTCACTACTGGTGTTATTCCTTAGTGGCAAGCATATAATTACTTTGTTAAATTATGGTGAATTCAAATAAGTAACATGTTAAAGTTTAACATCTAGTGGCTTGTTTACAGGGCTGCATGTTAACTGTTAGCTTGGCAGTGGGCCTAACTTTGTGTTAGAGGTTGTAATGGAGGTCAGCAGCTCATTACAGATGTTGAAAGTAATTAAGAACATGTAGTAGGCCGAGGTTTTATGGAGCCTAATGGGACAGTTAAACCCAAAATCAAACACATATATCTTTCTTCTTACCTGAAGTGCTATCAGATTGTTTTGGTGTGAGTTCCCGAGTGTTGGAGATATTTGTCTTACAAATGTCTGCTTTGCCTCTTGACTATATTGGTATTAGATAGTGCTTTGCTTTTGCTGCTCAGAGCATTAAAAGAAAACTTCTGATAATCTAACAAACAAAAACTCAAACACACCTTGTTGTTTCAGATTGTAGGAAATATTTTCTAGTCCATGACTTTCTTCTACACTATGATGGATGCAAAGACAATAGTTCCTACATGAATCTGTGGATTATCTTGGGTAACAGTTGATATACGGAAAGAGACATTGATGTTGTGTATCTCAAGTGTATTTGTTGGCGCTCTTAGCACCACCGCTCGTCTAGTTTAAGCATATTGGTGAAAAAGCATTACAATGTAGGATTGATAAAACTGCACTACAGTGAAGTGGAAAACACATGTATTTTAAATGTTTCTTTTGGGGCTGAACTTTCCCGTTAACTTGGGTTTTTGCTGTTTTTACTTGATACCTATTTAACTACATCATTCTGGAATAAATATTAACAACCTGTCTCCCTCTCTCCCCCCCTTCCTCCCCCAGGGAAGCTCTCCCGTCTCTCCCCCCAGCCCGGCGAGCCTTGCCTGGGCTCAGCACAGCCGACACCAGCCGGCCAGCCTGGCGCTCCGCAAGCAAGAGGAGGAGGAGAGCAAACGCTGCAAGGCTCTATCCGACAGCTATGAGCTCTCTACAGACCTCCAGGACAAGCAGGTACTGTACATGTCTCTTCTACATCAACATGTGTCCCCTCTGTGGAAAGAGACTCTGAACGTTTCAGGAAAAAAGATTCTCTCTCTTTTTGTCCTGATCCATTTATATAAGAACCTGTCTGAAAATGAGCTGATCAGATTTTGGCCACTTTATGATGTCATAACGATTTTTTTGGCTTGTGTAACCATTAGCCAATCACCAACCAAGGTAACCCCCCCCCCACCTAATCACCTGAATCTCCTCCTAGAGCACCAGTAGGCGCGTTCACACCGGAGTACTTTTCACCGTACTTTTCACGTTTAGTTCCGTTAGTACCCCTTATGTCGCGTTCACACCAAAAAGAGTACTTCATCTCGGGAACTTTTACCCCCATTTTTAGTGCCTGCTGAGAGATGGTACTTTCCTGGGGGAAAAAAGTGCCCCAGTTCTGATTGGCTAGGCGAATTGCAAACCACGCCCCGTACAACTCGTACAATGTTTTGTAGAGCCGCCATTTTATTATCCTCGCATTAGCATTATTAGCATTAGCATTCGCCCAGCGCACAAACGCAGAGAGACTAACTTATGGCAACACAAAATAAAACGTGGGAGCGGTGGAGATGAGGAGGTGTCGGCGTTCTGGCGATTTACTCGGAAGGCTTCAGTAGAAGCTGCTGGGAGTCCCAGCAGCTTCTACTGAAGCCAGTCCCCAACTCCGGGGACTTCCGGCCGGGGACTTCGGGTGGCAGTATACGCTGTGAAGTTGTTTGCGGCCTGCCAGTAAACCCAAAGCAGAAGAAGACGAAGTGACGTCAGCGGCTCATTTGTGTAATCTTCCCTCAGGGAATTTATTCCGGTGTGAACGCGATCTGTACTAAGTGCCAAGGGCGCCGGAAGCGGGGGGGCCAGGGGGCCATTGGTCCCCCCACTTTTCAGCCCTGCCCCACATTTTCGCAGCGGCGGATGCCGTGGAACACTGTACAAATCCCGTTTCAATAATTTGCCTCTACTCTAAAGTCGCATCTAAAACGCGATCTGATATAGCTGTGTATATTTTGTTATGTTTGATTGTTATATTCAATCTCATTAGCTACAGGCATTTTTTAAGCTTGTAAAGCTCTCACTCGCCACTCTGCTCTTCCTCAGCGCCGCTTCCCCTCCCTCTGCTGAAATTATGAATGTAAGGCGTATAGTAATCATAGATAACACGGCAGGGTCCGTTACAGTTTGTTTTTATCTGATTTCAAATAAACAAAGTCTTGGCTTTCAGAATATTAAACTTGTTTCGGCAAATTCAGATGATAAATACAACTTTGAAGCTTGTAACGGCATAATTACAAGCGGAGAACGGAGTAACTTAACGTCACAGCAGGCATAACAACAGCCGGTGTTTCTCGTGAGTGTTTTCCCCGGGAAACAAACACAATACACACAAACGCAAAAATACACAAACACACACGTATATACACACACACACTCGCGGGCTTCCCCTATCTTCCCTTCGTACTATTTTGATCATTTACTCCGCTAATAATCAATCAGATCGATCCAGAGAAGAGGAAACTTTAAAGGCCTTTTTCTCAAAATGATGACTCTGTAACAGTCATTATATAATGTGACATATTTTGCTTAATATTTGGAGTACAACAACAATCCTGATATCATTAGAAAGCTACGAATCTCCTCTTTCCAACAGTGTATACAACTCAAAATGTGTCTTCGGGTCAATGCGACTGATTTCGATGGAGCAGGTTTGCATTAGGTAAAAATAAAGCAGGCAGACATAACAGGAAGAATATGTACATTTTAACCCAATCAAATAGGACATTGTCACACCATTCAAATGTATCCATGTAAATTACAACCAATAAAAAAGCTTAGATTTGTTTATTCGTTACGTTGTTTACTTTATTTGTTACGTTGTTCTGTGTGTGTCAGCCGTTAACCTAGATAGAACAAATATATACACTTGCAAACACGTCAGAAGAACCAGCGCAGAAGAAAACTAAATACAGTCAATCTAAACTTAAATTAACAACTGGAAGGTCACATCCCTGACATCCACGTCTCCGGAGCCTGGACCTTCATCAATCATAGAAACAGCGAAGCCAGATGAACCCAAAAGCAGCAGCTCTGCGGCCACAGAGACTGTCAAAACCGCCGCCACCGCCGTCGTTGAACCGAAACAGGCTGGTTCCGACTGCATGGAGGTTTGTTGTCGGGACATTGAGACGGGTAAAGCTGCAGCTAACTGACCGCTAGATTATTTGGGCAAAGAGAAAGGTACTTCAACGCAGAATGGTACAAAAACAGAGAGTGGTTAATTCTTTGCAAAACCACTAAACGGGCCTTCTGTGAAATATGCAGATTTGCTGCTGTCAAACGGCTTGTCACTTTCTCAAAATGTGGAGATGATAGCTTTGTTAATATCGGAGTTAATAACTGGAAAAAGTGCCCAAGCCTCCTGGACAGCCACGAAAAGTCTCATTTCCACAGAGAGTGTATTCAAAAATAGTGCGCTTTCTTCAGTCAAACACCAGTCAACATACAGCTTGTCAAACAACAGCGTATTGAGCAGGAAAAAAGAAGAGATGGAATGATGGAGCAACTGCGCTGTCTGCAGTTTCTAACCCGACAGGGCCTAGCAATCAGGGGGCATGCGGATAAGGAGAGCAATTTCCAAAAGAACTCGTAGCTGAGAAAAACCCCACTCTGAAGAGCTTCATGCTCACCGGGAAATATGCATCATGAGACAATTAATGAACTTATAAATCTAATGTATCGGGAGTCTCTCACCACTATATTAACTGACATTTAAAAGCAATGCAAAACATGCAGTTATTGTGCTTCCAGCAAACATCCACTGATAAACTGCGATGTTAACAACCTCATGATAACCTCATATTTTTTTAACTTAGGATCTACCTGTGTTTAGTCTAGAAAAAGGTAAATGTGTGCATTTTATTATAAAGTTGTGTATATTTACAGACTGTTGCAAAAACTAAGAAACTTATAAACATCAGGTTTAAAACTAAAAGAGCTTTACAAAAAAGTAACACAATTAGAGATGTTTGGAGTTTTATTTTAGTTATTAATTTACATTTTTTGTCAAAGAGATGCTGATTTGAAACCGTTGATACAGTTACGGCATTTCCTGTTTCTGCCGGAGAGAGGGGAGTTTGTCCCAAAGCTTGCCGCTGTATCTACTCCCTCCATCTGACAGGAGGGAGCCTCATGTGTCACTCCACGGAGTTCACTCCGTCACGGAGGGGGAGTGTGTAGGGGTAGGGTGTAGGGCGTGGTTTGGGATTGGGCAATACACACGCACTTTTTTGGCCCCCCCACTTCTAAAATGAATCCGGCGCGCCTGCTAAGTGCCCTGGGGTAATAAGTGCCGGGGCACTGAGTGCCGGCACTGAGTACGACAAAGTACTTGGTGTGAACGCGGCTATTGTGTTCTTTTTAACCAAATATCTCTCATGCGGCTTTCACACCGGCGCTTTTCACTTTCTAGCTCCTCGCGAGAGCTTTTCTGGTTCAGCTCCCGTTTCCCTTTTCAGCTCCCGCTCTGTTCACACTGCCCAGAGCTGCCGCTGCTGCGTCATGACGTCACAGTTTACGTCGCTGATTTTCTCCCACAACAACAACGGGCCGGGGACTGCGTCGGGTCGATGATCGTGTTGCTTTTAATCATACGAAGCCAGATTAAATTAAATAACGACTTCTCCAACCTTATACTTTTCTCCAGAGTGCCGTGGTTCATTGTTTATTAATGTGTTTCAGCGGCATTTACCGACCGCTGCAGTGCTGGCTGCTCTTCCACGGGAGTTTATTCTCCCGTTAGCTCCGGGTTAGCTCACACGGCTCTAAAGTATTCACTGTCTGACTGTCACACAAGCAGCTGATACATATCCCCAGTTCCCCTTAAGTGAATGTGTGTCAGTCTGAATTGACGCTGTTTGGCATCACAACGCTGTTATGAAAGTTTCTCTGGTATAACATGGGTGATGTTAGCATAGCAACCGAAGCTAAACTGACTACTTGCTAAGCCGTTTTCTATAGGCACATTTTACCGGCGTATTTTTCATTATGATTCTACTTCTGATAGTCGGACATGACAACCTGTATAGCCCATGTATCTCCACAATGATCAATAACAGAGAACGGATGGTCAAAGTAAGGTTTCCTGCACGCCTCGACGTAAGAGACGTAAGCGACGCCGCGTCATAGCTCCAAAGCTCTTGCCTCTGGACCGACAATTTTTTGGAGCTGGAAGTGAACCGCATTCCGGAGCTATGACGCGCCGCCGCTGCGGTGTGAACAGGAAAAACCGGCGCTTTTCAGGCTCTAGCTCCCAGCAGGAGCTGGAAAAGCGCCGGTGTGAAAGGGGTATCAGAGGGGCGTGGGGAGTGGCTCCTTATTTTCATCTAAAGTAACAGACAGAGAATCAGCACTTTGGAAACAGGGCTGAAACAGAGTGGATTATGGGATGCTGCAATGATCTGTTTGGTGTTTGGAGCCAAACACTTCAGAGACATGTTTTGTATATATCTGAGACCTATAATATATTGATGAAAAACAGTATAATAGGGGACCTTTATGAAGTGGACCAATCCAATGACAGGCTCCTGTAATAGTTTATGTTACATTCTGAGATGGATGCAGCCTTTTCGAACACAGCGTAAAGAGTACAATGCACGTCAAAACACCCACACTTATTGTCTCTCACACACACACACACACACACACACACACACACACACACACACACACACACACACACACACACACACACACACACACACACACACACACACAGGCATCATCGTGGGTTGATTCCCAGTGCCGTGTCAGGATATGCGTGTCCTATTTAGCATCACTGAAGCGCTTCAACTCAATTGTATCACATGTATTCCCACATCAGTGCATCCCAGTTTCTCCACTTCTTGCTCTATGTTGATTCTTGTGTTTGCTGCAGACACTCAACGATTCAAAGGGGCTTTATTCTCATATGCACAGCTACAGTTTAGATATGCAATAACAAACTGAAGTCACAGGCTCCTCCAACAATGCAACGTAAATATATAGAAGACGTCAAACTAAATAAAAATAGTGCAAGAAGAAACAGAGTAGGAATAAAATAGTGCAAGAGAATGTTGCAAAACCAATGTGCAAGCATCCAGGAGGAGTTCATTATTGAGCAATTCATATAGAATAACATGAGCTAAAAATAGAATGTACATTTGAATGATCTACAGGGAAATAAAATACTAAATATCACACTGTAAGTAAAAATAGAATGTAAATAACAAAACATTCCCAATTTGGGATCAATTAAGTATCTCTTATCTTATCTTATCGCTTATACATGATGTACGGTGAAATAAAATACTAAATGTCACACTGTAAGATGTGATAAACAACACTGTTTTAAATATAAGATTGTTTGGAAAATACTGAATGTACTCTTCAAATATCAGAGTACATGATAACAAAGGTATCCCAACTGTAGCTGAGTACATGACAGGATGTATGATTACCTAGAAGAGCATCAGGACTGTTTTAGGCATATGATAGCTATGTGATTAACATGATGATTCAGCCTCTATGGAGATAGACATATGACAAGCATGATCATTTCTGACGTGGAGCTAATCTGAACTAAACATTGAATACTGTTTTATATTCCTCCATCTTGTGACTGTGCAACTCCCTCTCTTGGATATCAGCATGTGAAGGACACTGTTCAGGAACTAGTTGATGCTCTGTATGTGATGACTACTTCCATTCTGGAGAGGATCATAAATACATGGATCCTGAGATTGAAGCTCAAGCCGGGGACCAGTGATTATTAACATTTTGAGATTTGAGAAAAAGTCATAATTTTGAGAAAAAGTCAGGATTTTGAGATTTTGAGAAAAAATCGTAATTTTGAGAAAAAAACGTAATTTTGAGAAAAAATCTGAAAAAATACAACACTTTGAGAAAAAACTCAGTATTGTACATGACAGGATGAATGATTACCTACAATAACTGGTATTCCTCCATCTTGTGACTGTGTAACTCCCTCTCTTCTACATCAGCATGTGAAGGACACTGCTCAGGAACTAGTAGTACCAAATGCTCTGTATGTGATGACTACTTCCATTCTTGAGAGGATAATAAATACATGGATCCTGAGATTGAAGCTCAAGCCGTTGACGAGTCATATTTTTCTAACAAAGATGTTTGAAATTATTGTATCTATATCTTTAATCTAAAATGAATGAATTGAATTGTCTTGAATGTGTAGGTGGAGATGCTGGAGAGGAAGTACGGGGGTCAGTTCGTGTCGCGGCGGGCGGCGCGGACGATCCAGACGGCGTTCAGGCAGTACCGCATGAACAAAAACTTTGAGAGGCTCCGCAGCTCGGCCTCGGAGAGCAGGATGACCCGCCGCATCATCCTGTCCAACATGAGGATGCAGGTACACACACACACACACACACACACACACACACACACACACACACACACACACACACACACACACACACACACACACACACACACACACACACACGTACTTTAGTATTTTCATGTAATGCTACCTAATACTTCTACTCCACTATTTCAGAGGCCAATATTGTACTTTTTTTCTACATTTATTGATAAAGCCTTCCATGAATTGTAACCTTATTTCTTTTTTCAAATTAGTTTGTTTTTTTTACTTAAAATTTCAGGTGTTTGTACTTGCCAATATTGTACTTTTTACTTCCCTACATTCATTTAACACTCCTAGTTACTTTTGCATATAAAAACAAATTATTTGATTACATGATAAGGTGCAGTATTGTAACACCAATCAACCATGTCTTTTCTGAAGTCTCAAAAATGTGCTCGAAATCTACAAAGTCAAACATTAAAGTAATTCTTTCACTTCTGGATATACACACTGTCCAGGGACGTGCACAGACATTTTGGGGGGCGGGAGCTCAAGTGAGGAAAAAGGGCACTTCCCATAATCATTTATAAAAAAATGTTTTAAAACAAAAAGTTAAATATAGTTGCACATCTCTGACTTACGGACCAATTTATTTTAATACCCTCACACTCACGCAATTGTTTAATACTCAACAGAATTCTACAAAATAATCAGCTAACACAGAGACAATGGTCTTCTTTAGTATTTAGTATTCACTACGCACAAGAGCAGACAACAAACTAGTACAATGAATAGTTATTAAATGAGCAGCCAACAATCAAAATTATGAAGTTACTGTTTAAGGACATTACAGGCAAAAAGATCGTTTTTTTATTTACTTATTTTGGTCTATTTTGCTTCCATGTTTTCTTTCACTCTAATGGAAATAAAACTTCCAAAAAACACACAAATGGTGTTCGTTATACTACCATGTCTGAATTCATCTATAGGCTAGATTTAAAGCTAATCTGCATTTAAACATAGCATTTCAGGGGAAAATACTGACTTGACGTAAGCAACGTTGTGAGGTGATTTTTTGTTTTATCCTTTTCACCTGCAATGCCTTGGTAACTGCATGCAAATTTGCGCATTTTATTAGGCCTAGTTAACGCCTAATTTGCATATCAATGTGGCGATTGTGATGACGTTATTAGATACACATTTTACTGTATTCACTTTAAGTGTCTCCCCTTAAGTACAGTACATTAGCCTGTAGGCTATGCCCATGATAAATTGTCTTAGCTAAACCTTGAGCTAACTTATCCATTAGCTAGTACCCTACCATAGTTAACTATATTTGTTATGGTCTTTTAGCTAATTAGCTGTAAACGCGAGGCACTGGCAGCTTAGTAATTTGTTCATCACCACTCACCTTCAAACAAGCCAAGAAAATCCGGCATAACATGGGACAGTAAGGTGGGAGGTGCTGCTACCTGTCTGTCTGAAGGGACTGTAAAGTGGGAGGTGCTGCTACCTGTCTGTCTGAAGTGACTGTAAGGTGGGAGGTGCTGCTACCTGTCTGTCTGAAGTGACTGTAAGGTGGGAGGTGCTGCTACCTGTCTGTCTGAAGGGACTGTAAAGTGGGAGGTGCTGCTACCTGTCTGTCTGAAGGGACTGCCGATGTCCGCACCGATGTCCGCACCGCTGTGCGCGAGACGTGGAGGGAGGGAGGGTAGGGAGAGCATCGGAACTTCACAGTCTAATCTCCAGACCTGATATTTTAATTTTGTATTCAATCAATATATTGTTGGAAAGGGAAACTGTGTGCAAACAGCAGTAGATATATATTCATTTATAAAAAAAATAAAAAAGGGGAAAAAAAGGGCACTTTCTCTGGAGGAAGAAAAAGGGCAGGGGCTCAAGCCCACTTTGATGTCTATGTGTGCACGTGCCTGACACTGTCTCTGCAGTACACATAAACACACAACAAAACGTTCAAATATGCCTGTGTGTCTGTTTTTTCCTGCTGGGTCCAGTACTCGTTTGATGAGCGTCAGCCGCAGGGTCAGGGGTCAGCGGGTCAGCGGGGGCCAGACGACGCAGGAGACATCGACGACTCCTTCTCCAAACAGGTAAACACACCTGTGACTCACGATGATGTGGAGATGTTAGGATATTACAGCTGATATACTCAGTCGGTGTTCAATAAAGCTTTTGCTGCAGAATTGAGCAGGAAATTCTTGAACTAAGACAAAAAAAGACTCAAAGTGTGCTGACTAGCGTTTCCTGCAGCTTTCATCAGCGTTTCACAGGCTTCTCAGTCTCAGCCTATATATAATAATTTGCTTGATTATTTAATTTTAAACGTCCATGCAGGTGTTAACTAATTGCATAGCATAACGGTGAGTGTGTCATCGCTCTAATGCTGTAGAAATACACATTATACTAACTTAAAGCTGGGGTAGGCGTTTTTTTGGGCATCGTTGGGGAAACATTCTTTAATATCCTTTCAGCATACTGCGACAAAGTGCTATTCACCTCCTTTGGCTCTGATTTCAAGCTTTAAAAAATGTAGCCTGTGAAGACTTTGGCCAATCACAGGTCATTATAGAGAGAGGGTGTTACTATTGGCTGTTCTACTAATGTAAATGAGTGTGTATGTTCCAACGGTCAAAGCCTGTAAAAAGAATTGCTATTGCAGCATTGGCAGCAAATGCCTACACTGCAAATCAACAGAATTTATGGAAGAAAGTATAACAGTTAAAGCTATGACGTCGGCAAACTCTTTTTTTGAAAACTGGTAGGGTTCTTGCTGAAGTGGGGAAATAAGAAATAAAACATGTCTCAAGTGTAAGACTTTTTGTTTGTATTACTTGCACTATTTTAACTATTTTGTCTGTTTTATTGTGTTGCTCTGTTTGAGGAGCCTGTGACCTAAGATGTTCATTGACATATCTTTGTCTTTGTCTTTATTAGGATCCCCATTAGCACTAGCATGAGCATTGGCTATTCTCCCTGGGGTCCTCACACACACAAAACATACATAAACATACATACAACAAAATTAAAACAAAACAAAACAGCTCATAATTTCATGCAATTTACATATTTGAGTGAAAACTAAAATGGTCATCCAATTATCGCCAAACAAAAGTAAATACAAATAAGTGTACATAATAATATATGCATACATAGCCACAGACACAGTTCAAATTTACTTATAATACTTAAAGGGGACCTATCATGCAAAATGCACTTTTGTACGTCTTTTATACATGAATATGTGTCCCCGGTGTTCCAGGGAACTCACCAAGTGTCAGAAAACACAACCCTCTCTATTTTCCTCCATACCCAAATCTCTAAAAAAGGGGCTGCAACGGATCTGATAAAAACTGATCCAGATTTGAACACTGTCCTGACGTCAGGACGGTGGCGCTACGGCTATTGGGCCAACTCCACCAATCAGGAGGAGACAGCCACGGCCATTGCCGTTCGAAAGCGCTGGAGACGCTGTAGTACATATGCCAGGCCTCTAGATGGTGCTGTTCTCACAGAATCAGCCCTTACAAAAACAGAGCTAACATTTTTCAAATTGAGCGAAATGAGGCATGGCTAAAATGCATGATCTGTTTGGTATTTTTTTTTTTTAAATGTAAATATGCCTTATATAGGTATGGTCCTACACTATATTATTCAAATATAGCATGATAGGTCCACTTTAAATAATTTTTTAGCAACCTTTTGAAATGTACTTGAGAATTTTCCTGAATGATGTGGACCGGTAAAGAGTTCCAGCTGACCATGGCTCTGTACAGTGTGACTGCTTTCTGTCCCATATTTGATTTAGATTTGGGTAATACAAACCTTCCTTCTATTGTATGTCGTGTTTGATAGTTATGTATCTAAGGTGTAGCTTAAGGTGTGTGTGTGTGTGTGTGTGTGTGTGTGTGTGTGTGTGTGTGTGTGTGTGTGTGTGGGTGTGTGTGTGTGTGTGTGTGTGTGTGTGTGTGTGTGTGTGTGTGTGTGTGTGTGTGTGTGTGTGTGTGTGTGTGTGTGTGTGTGTGTGTGTGTGTGTGTGTGTGAGAATCTATAATAAGTGCATGAATTGATGTTTGGTTTTGTTTGTTCTGCAGGTGAAGTCTCTGGCCGACTCCATGGACGACTCCCTCACCTGCCAGTCCGGACGAGAAGACTCCCAGGAGGCGGGAGGAGAGGGGGAGGAAGACGAGGAGGAGGACGAAGAGGAGGTGGATGAAGAAGAAGAAGAGGAGGAGGAGGAGGAAGGGGAGGAGGACGAGGAGGAAGACGAGGAAGACGATTACAGAGAGTGCGCCTGGCGTAACTCCAGCGCTTCGTCCCCGACGAGTGGTGTGGGGGCCGGGTGGGGGGAGGAGCAGGGGGAGGGAGGGGGGGGGGGCCGCCATGCACGAGGACAGCACGGCCACCTCCTTCAGCGACGTCACGCTCTACATGGAGGGACGGCTGCCTGCCTTCCTCACCGCTGTGTCTCGCCCCGCCTCCAGCCACCGACAACCGAGTAATGGGGGAGCAGGGAGGAGGAGGAGGAGGAGGAGGAGCGGGGGGGCGGGAGGACAGCAGGGAGACGGAGGGAGGCAGCAGGAGGGGCAGCACCCCGTGCACTGAGTGTAGGGGGGAGTATAGAGGGAGGGGGGGAGGAGGAGGAGGAGGAGGAGGGGGGGGGAGGAGGAGGAGGAGGAGGACATCTACCTGTTCTCACAATCGAACCGCCCAGTGACAGCTCAGTAGACATGAGTGACAGGTGAGCTCAGCCAATCAGACTCTATACCCAACTTTTTAATTTGGCCTTTTATTGAATTTTATAAAACGTTGTTTCATTGAGCTCTGTGTTTATTAACACTCTGTGGTATCAAGTGTGTTAAAGGGGGATTGGTATTGACCTGTTGTGAATGAAAAGTGAAATAATGAAATGTATAAATAAAGTTTGATCCATTGTTTGACACTTCAGGTCAGAGCGAGGCTCCATCGGGCGCCTGGTGTACGAACAGGAGCCGTCGGGAGTGGACCGAGGCGCCGGGAGAGGGAGAGGGAGAGGATGGGAGGAGACGGGGAAGGAGAGAGCGGGGAGGAGGAGCCGCAAGGGGGAGAAGGGGGAGGCAGCAGCGAGGCCGACTCCCCTCAGGGAACCATCAAACACAAGCCCAACGGCCGCTCCGTCCCCACGGCGCAGGGTCAGACCCGCAGCCCGGCCAGCGCTCCCTTACCGATGCCTTCAGCCCGCGCCCTCCCCCCCCACCCGCTCCCCCACCCGCTCCCCCACCCTCTGCACCCCCACCCTCACCCCCACCCCTCACCCATCCCCCACCTGCCCACCATCCTGCACCACCACCCGCAGTACAGCCAGCCGCACGTCATGCACATGCATCACGTGCCCGGCCCCTACATCCAGCAGCACCACTTCGCCCAGCAGCACTACCACCACCTGCACCACCAGCACCACCACGGTTACCCAGAACCCCCCTCTTCCCCGCTGCCCTCCCCCGTGCCCCCACTCTCCCCTCTTCCTCCCCCGCTCACGCCCTCTCCGCTCTCCTCTTCCATGGAGGCCCAGCAGCACCACCACCCCCAACTGCACCACCACCACCTGCTGTGCTCTGATGGAGACAACGAGAGCGTGAACTCCACCACCACCAACTCCAACGACGACACCACCGTCAACAACTGCAGCTCCGGCTCCTCGTCGCGCGACAGCCTGCGGGAGCCAATGGGAGGAGGCGCTGCGGGGAAGCAGACCTATCAGAGGGAGAGCCGGCACAGCTGGGACTCGCCCGCCTTCAACAACGACGTCGTGCAGCGGAGACAATACCGCATCGGACTCAACCTGTTCAACAAGTACGTCACATGACTACGTCTCTGCAGATTATTAACAAGTGTTTGCAGCGATATATCATAATATAAGAATGATACACCTGTGTCTTGCATGATAAACAAACACTTTGATTACTCTAATAAACTGTGCAACGTGAACGTAATCCTAGAAAATCTATGCAATTATTCGTTCATGCAATATTCTACATTAATTGTTAAAAGTGTAATAAAAAAATATTCCTTTTTTGGCGCTGTTTTCAGCAACAACCTTCTGTAAAGATCCTATCCATCTTTATCATGTGTTTACAGGTTTATTGTTGTTATTTATTTTAGTACATTGAGCACACTTATACTCAAATGTTTCTATGTTTTATATACATATGTTCATTGTATTTCCCTTATCTTATTTTATTTATTAAATCCAATACCTCCAAGGATAAATAAAGTATTCTGATTCGAATTATTCCGTAAGCAGAATTAAGAAGCTCATAGATTTCACACCCTTTTATTTTTATTCTTCAGCACTACTTTATATGTAATCAAAAAAATCAAAAATGACCAATATGTCCAAAAACTAAACAATTGTTAAAAAAAGTGTATTAGCCAGTTTATAAAACACCTCAAAACCTTTAATTGACAAGCCCTAAGAACTGACCAAAAATTGATAAAACAAGCAAATAAATTGAATGTCGTAAATGTAAAACTAAGAAATAATACCTGTGTTGGTTCTGGTGTGCAGGAAGCCGGAGAAGGGGACCCAGTACCTGATCGAGAGGGGCTTCGTGTCGGACACTCCGATCGGCATCGCCCGGTTCATCCTGGAGAGGAAGGGTCTGAGCCGGCAGATGATCGGAGAGTTCTTGGGCAGCCGGCAGCAGTTCAACAAGGACGTCCTGGAGTGAGTACCATCATACCTGTTTATAATAATAATAACACTTTATTTATACAGCACTTTTCAGACAACACCTGCAGCTCAAAGTGACACACACTGACACATCACAAGGGAAAAATAAACAAGAAAATCCCCTCAGATTATTTATCATGTTATGTCTTCTTTCTTAAGTGTATTGCATGATGCATTGTTGGAAGAGCCTGGGACTTAAGATGTTCATTGACAAAACTGTGCTGTAGATATTGAGCATATCACGGTTCAGCTTTCTTTGAATCTTTTAAAGACATTCACACATTCGCTTTGACACACATTTGACCTTATTTCTGTTTTATTTTAACATCACGGTTGTGAAATAACACTTTGAAAAATAGGCTTTATAACATATTACTTACTGTTCCTTTGCTACTTTGATAATGCTGCTACTTTATATTATTACATTACATGTCACTTGTTAGACGCTTTTATCCAAAGCGACTTACATACTCAATACTGTGGGCAATCCCCACAGGAGCAATTTGGGGTGAAGTGTCTTCAGGGACACAACGACATGCTGACTGCAGTGGGGTTTGAACCTGTGACCCCCTGATCCCCCTGATCCGATCACGAACGCACTAACCCACTGCGCCACACACACCCTAGTATTATCACCTTTCATTTAGCTGAGGCTTTTATCCACAGTGACTTACAATAAGTGCAATAAACCATCAAGATACAAACTCAAGAAAGTTACAAGTATGTTCACTTCAAATGACCTTGCATGATGGCTGGTGCCATTAGTCTCAAAAAGGGGCTTTACTCTACTTTTTATTTACCTTGGATGTGAAATTATTTTATACGTTATTACACATGGGCTCGTCCCTTTGTTTAATAAGTCTTGTTTTATTTGGCCTTCTATCTGTACTGTACTCTTTGCTGTAGCAATGTCATGTTTCCACTGTGGGACAGTAAAGATGATTGTGACTCTGAAGTAGCTTCTTCCATGATGGTGACACTCCTCTCTGTGTCTATCTGTAGCTGTGTCCTGGATGAGATGGATTTCTCTGGGATGGATCTGGACGACGCTCTGAGGAAGTTTCAGGCTCAGATTAAAGTTCAGGGCGAAGCTCAGCGGGTGGAGCGGCTGGTGGAGGCCTTCAGGTACGAGTCTGAATCCCAGTTTTAATCCCCTTCTAGATTCAATGTGACATGAGTTCTGATGTGTTCTTCTCCCTCTCTTCCCCCTCTACAGTCAGCGGTACTGTGTTTGCAACCCGGTGCTGATCCGGAATTTCCAGAACCCGGACACCATCTTCATCCTCGCTTTCGCCATCATCCTCCTCAACACCGACATGTACAGCCCCAACGTGAAGCCGGAGAGGAAGATGAAGCTGGAGGACTTCGTCAAAAACCTGCGAGGTCAGTCAGTGAAGCATCTCTTGTAATCTGTGCAGCCTGGCTTAGATAATAATACTTAAAAAATGTATAAAATGTAGTTGTATCTGTAAAAATGTAAAAAAAAGTCGAAGTAATCGGCGCCTGGGTAAATAAAACAATTTAACCTCAAATCTATCTCACAGGTTGGATGTGTTTTTTTGTGTGCCACATCAACTGGAGAGCTTTTTGTTAATCATTTAGTTTCTTCTGCATGTTATAATTTGCTGAATCTGACCCGGTGTTTTTCCTTCAGGCGTTGATAACGGTCAGGACATCCCCAGAGATCTGCTGGTGGGGATCTACGGACGGATCCAGAAATGGGAGCTGAGGACAAACGACGACCACGTGTCTCAGGTCCAGGCGGTGGAGAGGATGGTGGTCGGGAAGAAGCCGGTAAGAGCCTGAAACTAACATCGGAACATATATTAAAGCGTTGGTAACTTTGGCTTTAAAATAATGTTATCTTCAGACACCTCTGTCATCTAGTTCAGGCTCACCGGGTTCTCTATTTTTTGTTAAAAGTTGGGAGGTCACAGTATATATATAGATACAAAGAGATATATTAGAAAATAGCAAATCCACTATTTTAAACAAAACACATACGATTGATGTAATTTATTTTCGAGTTACACCATCACAATATGATTCCGCCCACAGATGATCAACTAGGAGTTATTTTCCTGCTCTACCAAATGACTCAAGGGGATGATGTGGCTTCACATTACCGTAATTTCATGTTTTCTCGTGTGTGTGTGTGTGTGTGTGTGTGTGTGTGTGTGTGTGTGTGTTGCAGGTGTTGTCGCTGTCCCATCGCAGGTTGGTCTGCTGCTGTCAGCTGTTCGAGGTTCCTGATCCGAACCGAGGTCAGAGGAGCGGCGTCCATCAGAGAGAAGTCTTCCTGTTCAACGACCTGCTGATGGTAATAATACACTCCTGCGTGTGTGTGTGTGTGTGTGTGTGGTGTGTGTGTGTGTGTGTGTGTTGTGTGTGTGTGTTGTGTGTGTGTGGTGTGTGTGTGTGTGTGGTGTGTGTGTGTGTGTGTGTGTGTGTGTGTGTGTGTGTGTGTGTGTGTGTGTGTGTGTGTGTGTGCATGTGTGCATGTGTACATGTGATGGATCATCATGATACAAAAGAGAAATCTACAGCAGTATCATTTTCTTTTCACTCAGACCCACACTGCTTTTTCTGCGTGTGTGTGTGTGTGTGTGTGTGTGCGTGTGCGTGTGCGTGTGCGTGTGCATGTGTGCATGTGTACATGTGATGGATCATCATGATACAAAAGAGAAATCTACAGCAGTATCATTTTCTTTTCACTCAGACCCACACTGCTTTTTCTGCGTGTGTGTGTGTGTGTGTGTGGGTGTGTGGGTGGGTGTTGTGTGTGTGTGTGTGTGTGTGTGTGTGTGTGTGTGTGTGTGTGTGTGTGTGTGTGTGTGTGTGTGTGTGTGTGTGGGTGTGGGTGTGGGTGTGTGTGTGTGTTTATATTACTGCAGTGTTTCGGAATAAGTTTAGGAAACTAATTCTCACAGAGCCCGAGGATCTTCTCCCGATGTGAGATAGATGATTGTGCGTCACAGAGCTCCAGTTTATCCCCGGCTCTGTTTGATGCTGCGCTCCAGAACTGTCACACTCTCTCAGAGTCTGACTTCTTATTGCAGAAAATTCAAATAAATGGGAACCCAAGTAGGATCTGTCAACAAGAGTTACAAGTGAAACTCATGTTTCAGTGATTCTGTCTGCAAGATGAATGGTTGTCAGGCATTGCAAAACAATATAAAGGATATGTTGTAACACTGGTGTATTGCCAGTTCTCGTTTAATCCCTTATTAATGTTGTAGTGAGGGTTTTAGCATAAGACATTTTGCAAAACATGGCTTGAAAATATCGCAATCTTCCTGTCGAGAGGGAGTTAAAATGGTAAATGGACTGCATTTATATGGCCAGTCTTTTCCAGTCTTTGAAACCTCTCAGAATGCTTTCACTTGCATTCACACACATTCACTCACAGTTGGCCACCATTAGGAGCAATTTGGGTGTCTTGCACAAGGACACTTTGACATGTTGCCTGCAGGGGCTGGGGGACTCACTCTATCGCCTGAAACACTGCATTAGCAATATATTTTTTCCTTAATTCATGTATTGTCTACAAGGGATAATCCACAGGTTGAGCCCCTTCTGCCACATTGGAAAAGTGCATTGGAGAAATCTGTGTTTTTAGCAGTTTTTCTCACTGGGTCCGTAATTTTTGAGCGGACGAAACCTCTGGATAATTTGGCTCCCTTTTTAAAAAGGTCTGAAAGTCTGGATCGAATGTAATTAGAGAAACAAGCAGAGCCAACATTAGTGAACACTCTGGGACGACTTTTATCGACCTAACTACATTGGAGATACACTGATTTTGACTTGTAGCTAACTTGTTTGATTAACTAACTGGTTTCAGTCCCTGGGTCTGGAGAGGATGCAAACTCTGCGGGTAATTCGGCTTGTTTTGAAAACCTTCTCAAAGTCTAGATCTTGCATTATTGGAGAAACAAATGGAGCAAATTGGCTCGCGGACACTCATGGACATCATTTGTCCTCCAAACTGCTTTGGAAAAACACAATTTCTTTAGGTGAAACTGTTTTATTCAGTGTATTTACCCGATGTAGTCGTGCACTCTGTTAGTTTTGTAGCGAAGCAGACAACTGCAGGTAATTCTGCTCCTTGTAAAAACATCCTGAACAATGAAGTTATCCTAACAAGGAATAGCTGAATGCAATGATACACTCCCATAATCCCATGATACTTCACAACGCCACCTAACTCAAAGAACATATTGTCTGTTGGATGTTACACAAAGGTCATATGAAGGTCATTGCAGTCAAAATGAACCAGCCTCAAATATGACTCTTTGCGTGTTCCCGAATTAAGATTTAGATTCAGAACGGTACTGACAGAAGCTCCCTGGTCTAAATAAATAATTGAAAGTCTCCACGTAGAGTCAATGTCACGAGAAGAACTACTTGTGTTTGAGCTCGGAAGATCGGAGTTACTCTAACTGTGGTTTAATTCTAATTTAATCGTATTTACAATGTGACTAAAAATCAGGCAGGAGGAGATAATGTCTACAGTTTATAGAGAAATTATTCAAGTGTTGCCCCGAGGGATTTTAAAAGCCTCTCACCTTGAAATGAACAAAAGAAAGAAATAAAGATTAGCATAATCAAGCTCTGCCTCCTCCTTTAGCTGCTTTCTCTTCTCCTCCCTCTCTAATCCTCCGTCTCGTTCCTCCTCCTCAGGTGACGAAGATCTTCCAGAAGAAGAAGACTTCAGTGACGTACAATTTCAGACAATCATTTCCTCTGGTGGACATGCAGGTCCACACCTTCCAAAACACCTGTAAGTGCTGAACTGTCTTTATATAATTATCTCTCTCCATCTCCTCCATCTCCTCTCCTCTCCTCCATCTCCTCTCCTCCATCTGTCCCAGCCTCTCTCCGTTTTATTGCACATCTCCATTTCTCTTTTGCACTTGCTCAACCCTCTATTTTTTCCAAACAGTCAGCATGCCCTCTGAAAAGACACAGACACATATACACGGCAGTGGCTCAGTCACTAGGGGCTTGGGCTGGGAGCCATAGGGTCGCTGGTTCAAGTCCCCGACCAGACCTAAATGTGGAGTGTGGACTGCTACTTGGAGAGGTCCCAGTTCACCTCCTGCCCTGCCGTGGTGCCCTTGAGCAAGGCACCGGACAACCCCCTTCCCCCCCCACTCCCATTGCTCCCCGGGCGCTGTGCAATAGCTGCCCACTGCTCCTAGTACTAGACTCCTGGTACTAGGATGGGTTAAAAGCAGAGAACACATGTCACTGTGTGTGCTGTGTGCTCTGCATGTGTGACCGTTAAAGAGGGGTTCATCCCTCCCAATATTATATATATTATTATTAAGGAGCCATTTATGATGTGCTTCCGTCTAAATCCCTCATTGAGGATCCAACATTTCGTTAAAGGGATTGTTCAGATATGTTTAAGTGGTTTGTATGAGGCACTTATTCAGACTTCTTTGACAAAAACAATGCACGCACGCACGGGAACTGTTAGCGCCGTGTTATGCATGCCCACTGCACCTCGCGGGAGGGCGCACAGCGTAAAGCCAAAACTCACAGACATTTCAATGATTTGTACGGCAAAGTTAGGTTTGGAAACGGTATCATTTCCCGGGGAAACGTTGGCGCTGTTCCGAGTTTGTTATAATCTGTCAAAATGACGGACTGCTTTCAGATTTGCCGTCATTGTCATAGACGGAAAATATTCGGTTAACGCGACCTCTGGGCGGGAAATCTCTAAGTGGTTGACCAATCACAACAGAACCGGCCAGCTAACCAATCAGAGCAGACTGGGCTCTGGTTTCAGACAGAGGGTGAAAAGAGGTGCTGCAGCACAGGCAGTATGAGATAAATAAAGAGCTTTTTGAACATTAAAGCATTGAGACAGTAGAGCAGGGGTGTCAAACTCAATTTCAACTCGGGCCACATTAGCATCATGGTTGCACTCAAAGGGCCAGTTTTATATATAAGACTATATAAGAATAAATATGTAATTATTTAATATATATAAAATAATGTATTATATTACATTATTGCCTCTGCATTGGATTATTATCGGATAGGGTAATAACTTCATAATTAACTACGTCTGAAAGCAGAAGTCTAGGGCAAACAATTGCAAGTCTCTTCAGTGCGCATGTCACAAAATGATTTAAAAAGGAAAGCCAAATTCTGGAACAACTAAAAAAAATAAGTGACATTTTGGGGAAAAAAGTCTAATTTGAGATGCATTGTGGGACATGTAGTTTATGGGCAATGTGTTTCTGTAAAGCGGCATGTAACCGTATAATAAACATATTATATTCTTTGCAAGCTCTTGTGGGGCCGCATGAAATGAAGTCGCGGGCCGGATTTGGCCCCCGGGCCTTGAGTTTGACACCCCTGCAGTAGAGGCACTACATACTGATATGAACATGGAAATCAGCAGAACAGGGCCCCTTTAACACTTTTCTAAGTACTCAAAGATGCTTTATAATACATTTAAAAAATGTATACAGCTTGCTTACAAACATACATACACAAAGGAGCTAGTATGCTTTATCTTAGTCAAAGCATAATTTTCCTCTCCAATAATGCACCTGGGACAGAAATGGTTGACTCTGTCCTAGTTGGAAAAGCTCTCAACAATCTGTTAATCATCTCTTGGCCAAACACAACTTCCCTCTCCATGTACCAAAATAATTCTCTGTCTGCCAATCTTTCTTTAAACGTCGCCACCATCAGTCCGAAGAGGATCCTGTTTCTCGATGGAAACTCTGGAAGCTTATCACAGGATTTCCTAAATAAACGACTCTCCGTCTTAAAACAAGGATGTTTAGCTGCATTCCCCAAAATATGACTCATTCAACCGAAACATATCCCAATAATGATGCTAACAGAATCGTATGCAGTCGTGTGTGTGTGGGTGTGTGTGGTTTCCAAGCCTCTATTCGAGCAGAGAGGAATTGGCTCTGGGTTTCGAGCAGCAGATTGGAGTTGGTGGCGTTTTCTAATCTGCCTCAGCACCTGTTAACAGAATCGCCACCATTTTCAAAAAGACTTTATAATGCAGGATAAACAACAACTATGCCTGACATGAAAGGCAAGGTGAGTTTATTTATATAACACACTTTAACACAAGGCAATTCAAAGTGCTTTCGAAAAACCTGTTGAAAAGCATTAAGATAAACTGTAGAGCAATTCAAACCTATTATAAAAGTTAAATACATTTAGAAACAGTTATTAACCCTTAAATGGTTTCTGTATCCTGGGAGATACATTTATATAACAGGCTGTGTCCATGACTAACATTGGTGTAATAACAGTGTCATAATTATGTAATATTGGTGTAATCAGGTTGTGATAACAGCGGTGTAATATGGGGGTAATCATGGTGTAAAATTGGTGTCATAACGGAGGAATGGGGGTGTAATAGGGTTGTGATAACAGGGAAAATTGGAGTAATAACTTTGTAATAAGGTTGTAATAACAGTGTAGTTAAGGTGTAATATGTAAGGGATAAGTAACTGGCAACTGAATATGTGTCGCCGTTTGATGTCTATGTCTGGACCGCTGCGTAAAAAGGAGGGTTTCTGCCCGTTACTTCTCCGCTGTTTCCTTGTCGCTCTTGTCTTGTCAGTTAGAAAAGCAAACTGCATGCAGTTTGCTTTTCGGCCAAACTGTATACACAGTTAAATCGAACGGACTTCTTTGTGCAGATGTGAGCGTCCTTAACAACGGTCAATAAGTCCTTGACAGCGGTCTGTCTGTTCTGGATTAACAACGTGTCACGTGTTCTGAATTGACCAATCAGAATCGAGTATTCAACTAAACCATGTAATAAGTAAGGGATAATGTGCAGCGACTTGGTCATTATGGGGAAAAGAACACCGACAGGCTGATCAGGAGCCCGTCGCGAAGCGGAGGGATCTAGATCTGCATGAAGGTGTTCTTTTCCCCATAATGACCAAGTCGCTGCACATTATCCCGCTTATTACATGGCCACATTCTCAACAAAGTAATGATATGACTCCCACTATTAATTGAAATGCTTTTATGGATTTAGAAAATGATTTTATTGATTTAAAAAATAGTTGTATGTATTGATTTAAATTGACATGCATCCGCTAAGGAAAATAGTCCGTTGTTACTTAATAATGTAAGTTATTACTTATGTTAAGTCGCTTTGGATAAAAGCGTCAACTGAATGCTATGTAATGTAATATGGATGTAATCATGGTGTAACATGGGTGTAATAACGGAGTAATGTCGGTGTAATACGGGTGTAATGTAGAACATGCCCATTTAAGGGCTATAAGAATAGAAATAAAACATTCATATATATATATTATTATATTATTATTACTGTACAGAGTATTTGATTGTATTATATTCCACTGTAATTCATTTATATAACATGCTTTTTTTAATCTAATATAACTTTAATTTATATGTATATAGTCAACTTATTTCTGCATTTTACGTGCACCACTGCAAAAGGTTTAATAACTCTTTAAAATCTTGTTTTGCTATTGGTTTAACTTCTGAATCTGCCGCTGAGCTCCATAAAGAATCCTCTTTTCTGAGGTAACAGTGGTGAGAAAGGACCCATGATTTAGACTTCTCTCTCATTCTTCATTCCTGTCTCTTTCCATCTGCACACTTCAACACAAAGAATGTCTTCCAGAACGAGATTTCTCTGGTTGGATGAAATGAGGCTGAATAAAGAGCCCATTCAACGGGGAGAGGGGATTTATTCAGTGGGAACAATCAGCTTACATTCACAGGACAAATGACTCTGCAGTAGACACGGTATTTCTTTGGCTCCAGCCCAGACACCAGAGAGATGTCCAACATGACACAGCTAAAAAACACATACTTGTCTACTGGCTATGAGAAAAGAGTCTTATCTACACGTTAACTTTGGTCTGAAATAAAAGTTGTATTTCTCTGTAGTTCCTTCCCATGATGTTGTCAGACTCTCATAACACTGGTTTCAAAATAACAAGCACTTAGTGGAAGTCCATTGATGGTGCAGAGTTGCCTCGAAGCATTCTGTTGCAGTAGCTGTAGTTCAAAACTGGACCAATTTCGTAAACATTGTTGTCTCCATCAGTCACTTAGACACTAAACATTTTGAAATCCAGACTGAAAAATACCAACATTTCCATTTAAAAAGGAACAAATGGAAACAGGTATTGCATATTAATAATTATGACAATTTCAGTGGATGAAATCAGTCACTGCTTCCTCTGTTATCCACCGGTTTCTCTTTTATTGCATCATAATACGTTTGGTCATATCACAAGGTCAACATTATTCAGTTATTTGAAGGATCCACAGTCAGAGTGTGTACTGCTGCTGTGTGGTTGTGTAGCTGTTGTTGTGTGGTTGTTGTTGTTGTTGTTGTTGACAGTTCTGGTTCTCCAGTTGGAGCTTAATGGGACTTGGCAGGCGGTGGTGATGACTGTGACCGGGACAGATTGTCCCATATGATTCATCAGCACAATCTTACTGCTGGTGTGTGTGTTCATGCATGTGTGTGTGTGTGTGTGTGTGTGCATTTGTGCATGTGTGTGGGTGAGAACTGTGTGTGTTTTGTCTGTGAGTGGGTGCATGGGAATGTATATGTGTGCATGTCATGTGGGAGGAAGGTAAGAATGTGTGTGTGTGTGTGTGTGTGTGTGTGTGTGTGTGTGTGTGTGTGTGTGTGTGTGTGTGTGTGTGTGTGTGTGTGTGTGGTGTGTGTGTGTGTGTGTGTGTGTGTGTGTGTGTGTGTGTGTGTGTGTGTGTGTGTGTGTGTGTGTGTGTGTGTGTGTGTGTGTGTGTGTGTGACAGTCTTTAAGGCTATACAAGCATTTTTTCGTCATTCAGCTTCTGATACTCGGTCATCCTGAGAAAAACCAAACATTTTATAACAAATTGGAACCATTTTGAATGATTTACTTGATAGATTCTGTAACTTCTTTGGCGGGAAGTATTATATCACGTTTTTTCCACCATCAACCAGGAAGCAGCATTTTGTTCCCCTTTGAAATGTGATTTAAAATTAACGAGTTATTGATTTTCTTTTTGTTGTCTTTTTGGAATATATTGTTAAATAAGTGCACAATTTGACAAAGGATGAGATCTTAAAGGATGTCACCTTGTGTGACTCTTTTCTGACAGGAATTCCTTTGTTCTTTCATTCAAAGAGACTATCATCAATATCTGATGTTCAACATTCATGTTTTAGATCGTTACATTTTTCATTTTTAATGTTAAAAAACCAAAACATTTCATATCATCTATTTTTGTCCAACAATAGGAAGTGAGTCTTTTCAGCTTTAATGTTCTGCTCTTCACAGCAAGGTCAGGTCAGACTTTTAGCCCAGAGGTCACAGTGTGTAACGCGTATGTGTGTGTGTGTGTGTCTCACACAGATTACCCTCATGGCATCAGACTGACGTCGGCGAACCCCGGCGGAGAGAGGAAGGTTCTGATCGTCTTCACAGCGCCGAGTCAGCAGGACCGAGCTCGATTCACCTCTGACCTCCGAGAGAGCATCGCTGAGGTGCAGGACATGGAGAAGTACCGCGTGGAGTGTGAGTGTTCCTGACTCAGAACATCAGTACTTATGTATATAATAGTGATAATACCAGTGGTCACAGCAGTGGCGTTAACCTAGTGGTAATAGTAGTATACAGTATTGAAGGAAGTAATCAGAATTCTGTAAAATACTTAGAAGTTAAAGGCCTGTATTCATTCAAATGTTTTATTGTTAAATGCACACAATGTTAAGTCCCAGGCTCCTCAAACAATGCAAAATACTTAAGACATTAAAAAGGATAGAAATACTGCAATACAATATTAGTAAAACATAATGATGCAAGTGACATGCAGCAATAAGAAACACATATGCAAATATACAAATAATAAGATAACATTTCAATTGAAAATATTATTTAAAAGTAAGTAAGAATAAGCAGATTAAAATATTTAATGAAATAGTCACCCCCAAAAAAATAAGAAATGACTTAAATGTTTATAGGAGCCAGTTAATTGTGTATGTATTAATTTATTGATTAATTAAAGGGGTTATATAATAGATGATATAATCGTTCAGCTGTTACTGTAAAAACTGTTGGCTAATTTAATTAGTAACAAAATCATGTTCTATAAACTCTCAGAATCTAAACTTTTTTATTAAGGGGGGAAACGGGGGTTTTGTGAAATTTGAGAAGAACTAAATACAAATATTTATATAAACAAACTTGTAGAAGTATAGGCAGTAGCACTACGTCACCTCGGGAAAAACTGATATTATTTGAAGACAACATTTTATTTCACTTTCATTTAATGATCATTGTTTCTCCCCTCTCTCTCCTCCCTGCAGCCGAGCTGGAGAAGCAGAAAGGAGTGATGCGTCCCGGAGTGATGGCGGGGGGAGGACCGGGAGGCGGGGGGGCGCCGGGAGGGGGGCCTATAGGCGGCATGAAGGGCGAGGCGGTGAACGGCATTCTGGGTAGACCGAGCCTCGACGACACGTACGCCTCGGTGGACGGACTCAAACGCACCGCGCTCAGCTCCTCTCTGAGAGACCTCTCAGAAACAGGTGAGGACGGGACACAATAATCATATAATAAATAGATTAATAATTCAAAAAATTATAATAATAAAAACAATAATAATAATGATACATTTTAAAATATTGTTGTAAAACTTCAAAAATAAATATTAATATGTTTTGACAGTAATAATTTACATTTTTCTATAGCACCTTTTAATTTGTATTAAGTATATATTTTCAAGGGAGACCTGGCCATGGCATAAACAGCCCAAAAATAACACATTGCTGCAGACAGAAAGCCCACCAAGGAGACGACTATTTAAAGGAAATAACACATATTCAAATAACAAATATTCACAAGAAACAATAAAATCATAGTAAAAAAAGTATGTCTGGTTACCAGGTGATTTTAAAATCCTTAATATCTTAAGGAATCTGCCTTTTATATATGGAATCAAAGGTATCAAAGGTACAATTAATTCATGATAAAATGATATCAGATCCAGAAGTTAATATATGATCATTATAACAGTTAAGAAAAAGCTCTATGTTATATAAAAGAGTCTCAATAATAGATAAAGGAAGAAACACGTGAGTCTTATCTCTGGGTTTTCTCCCCCTGGTTAACAACAGCTTACATGTTTTTGTGAGACGTGACTGGGATCCTGTTAATGGGAGATTTGACTGTTTCTGTTTACTGCTGCAGCTTTTATGACTCACTGACTCAGAGCAAACCTACATCTGTGGTCTTATGCAACTGATGAAAATGTGATGAAATCTAAAATGGAATTATAATACAGTAAGATGGAAGTCTGATGTGGAGCCGTGATGCTCTGTCTCCACCTGCTGGACTATAACACACAACATGAAATATTAAAGGGTGATTTTACTGTGGAAACTGCACTTTATGAATAGCTGGTTTACAATAAGGGGGTTTCTTTTTACTATAGACGTATGATAACTAACCTGATAAGCAATGCACTGATACCCCATAAATATTGGTAGACATAATGTTTTTTTAATTATATCAGAATAATTAGTCCCAAATTGTGTTTCTGATGATTTTTTGACCAATTATAAGATAAGATAAGATGGACCTTTATTAATCCCCGTGGGGAAATTCAGTTGTACAAAGCAGCAACAGGGTAAGCGTGAAAAAACAGGACAGCAAACATTCACACAAATTAATAAAATAAAATAAAATAAAAAATCAAGAAAGAAATTAATATAATAATGATAATAATAATAAAAGACTATGAAATAGGAGATGAGTAAAAATAAGAGTATAATAAGAGTAAAATAACTGTCAGCATATATACATATATGGATATTTTTTCTAAGAGTACGCAACTTAACCCTCCTATTGTGTTCGTTTCCCCCCCTTACTTTGGTGTTCGCGGTCAAATTTGACCGGTCCTGTTTTAACTGCTATTACATTAACACAAAAAACATTAATCATCACCAAATGTCATTTAACACCCTTTCAAACTGTACATTTTGTATCAGACTACTGGTATACATGAAACACTGCAGTAAATATACAAAGAACAGACACTGAACATGTATTGCGTGAGCCAGGTGTGATCCATGTGGGGGGATGGGCACATAAGAGCGGGAAATGTGTCAAGTTGTTCTGTGTGTGCGTGTGTGTGTGTTTGTGAGTGCCAGGTGTGATTCACATGGGGAGATTGGGAACATAAAGGGGGGGGGAACACATCTAGAGTATGTGTGTGTGTGTGTGTTTGTGTGTGTGTTTTATCTGATGGCAGTCACCATGGGTGTTACAAAGTTGACTAAATCATCCAAAATTCAATGAAAGTGGTGATCAGCAAATGTATATGTTCAAATGTCTACTGTGAATGATATCATAAAGCCTTAATGCAATCGAATGTAAAACAAAAAAGTTATGATTGATGAAAGTACTAAATCGGTCAGATTTGACCCGAAGACAACAGGAGGGTTAAACCCAAGTAAGTATCCTAAATTCAAAATAATATAAACATCTATTATTTATCTGCAGAAAAGACAAAATAAATAGTAAACAAACAATCAATTTAAAATCAAATATACTTTAAAAAGTGCAAGTGACCAACCAAGAACCCTGTCTGCCTAATCTGCAGGAAAATAATAAATGATAAAAAGAAAAGTGTATTTTTTTAACGGGATAACATGTTGGAACTACCTCTGTTTAACCGTGCCTCGTTCTGATTGGGTAACAGGGAAGCGAGGTCGTAGGAACAGTGTCGGGTCATTGGACAGTACCATTGAAGTAAGTTTGTCGGGGGCGGGACTGAAAGCATGCGCCGTGTTACCTCCCAGCATGCATCAGCAGATTATCACGCACATGTTGCATGTTTCATAATGTTCGTCTCAATGCTTGGCTCTGTAAGGTTTTTTGTGTTTTTTGTGTACATTTTTCCGGCTTTGAATGATCTTTACTTCCTGCAACAAAGGTCATACATGATGGTCATACACCAGGATGCCCATCATCTTTATAACTAATCATTTGTCTTTGTCTGCTTCACTCGTTCTTCTTCTTCTTTCCTGCATGTCTGTCTTGAAACCTGATTCTAGTTCAGTTCAGTACAGTAAAATTCAAACAAAAAAAACAAAAAACTGATAGCATATCTTTAATTGAAGTGTCTGAAAAAGTAATATTGTTCACGTACTGAAACAAACAGAGCAGTGGCTGCCGGGATGATTGGAAACTATCTCTAAAACTTTAACCAAAACTGCTGTTATTCTTCTTTTTAAATATTGTAAAGTGTTTATTAGCCTGGTTCTGTATTTGATTCTCTTCCCTTGTTCTTCTCCCCTCAGGGTTCCATTATTAGCAGCCCCCGGCCCCACCAGCAGCGCCCCCTGCTGGCCGGAGGTCTCCCCTACAGCATGATGGCCCCCTCGTCTCCAGCAGCTTACCGGCCACACCGCCCAACTCAGAGCCCCGGTACAGGGGTGGGGGGTGGGCCGGGGCTCTGTCACAACCCGGGGGGGATCAGCACCTCGCCTCTCGTGAGCGGGGGAGGGGCTGGGGGAGGAGGCGGGATGGGGGGGGTGGGAGGCCCGAGTGGCGGCGGCGGCCTGCTGGGGAACTTCTTTGGGAGCAGGAGAGGCAAAGTTCCCATTCCCTTGACGATGACGTCGCCTCCTCCTCAGGGTCCTCCCAGTCCTCTGATGATCTCCTCCCCCCCCCACTACCCTGCCCCCGCCCCCCCCATCGCCCACCCGGCCTCCCCTTCCCCGTGCCCCTCCCCATTGCCCAACCTCGCTCAGTCGGACTCGGGAGGGGTTGGAGGCCTCGGGCCGTCCAAGCTGCAGGCGCTGCACGCCCAGTATTGCCACGGCAACAGTGGAGGAGGCGGAGTCAGTGGGATCCAGCAGCAGCAGACTCCGCCCCCTCCCTACCACCACCACCACCGGTACCACATGCAGAGCGCCCCCCCCGCACCTCACCCTCTCTCACAGGTTCTCCGCCCCGCCCCGCCGGCAGGGTCCCCCCCCTTCTCACCCCCCGCAGCACCAGCGGCTGCAGCATGGCGGCGGACAGCACCCCCGTTACAACCTGGGCTTCATCACCCCCCCGCCGCTCTCCCCTCACTCCCCCCTAACCCCTACTACCCCGCACGGACTCTACCACTCGGGGAGGCCGGGGGTCGGCGGTGGAGGCAAACTCCCGCTGACCATCTCCCACTCGCAGCCTCACCCCCACGCGCACACACACTCTCACAACCATGCCGTGCTCACACACTCCCCTCTAAGCCCCTCCCCTTCCGCCTCCCCCTCCACCCATTTCATCTTCTCCACGCCTCCTCCGCAGACGCCCTCGGCACGCCTCGTCAGCCAGACGCCCCCGCAGCCCTATGGACCCCAATATCAGCAGCTGTCGTCCATCCCGCCTCCTCCTCCGCACTCGCCCTTACCTCCGCCGCCCAACACCCCGCTCTCCCTGCACCAGGGGGCTGGGGGAGGGCAGGGGGGAGGGTCCAAATCCAAACCGGTCAGCCGGATCAGCACGGTTGTGTGAGGAGGCAGAAGATAAGGACGGTGGTTCGACGCCCCGCCGCGGGAGTGACAGTAGTGAGGAGGAGGAGGAGGAAGAGGAAGAGGAGGGAAGGGCAGGTACAGGCGTTTCAAAATGGCCGCCTCATGAGTAGGAGAGCACTTAGAGCGGGGAAGAGGAAGTTACTCAGCCTGTGTTATTTTCACATCCACTTTCCCTGCAGGTAGAGATACTTTCCCCCCCGTATCGAAGGCGTTTGTTGGAGAACGTTTTTTCCTCGAGGAGCAAAAAACACCAAGAAGGTGAATCACAAATCTGAAGAATAACATATGGAAGTCCTGACGTCTTGGTGACAATCGCCTCCATCCTCCCTTCGTTGTGCCCTTCAGAGGTGGATTTAAGAGGACACGTGTGTTGTTCTTCCCTGACAGAGGAAGTGTTTGTGTCATATTGTGAGTAAAAAATGTGTGAAGTGCTGTAGTGGACAAACGGTTCAGGGACCAGACGTGAAGGGAACAGTGCCTGCGGATTTATCGCAAGGGGTTAGCGCTCAATGCTAACACTACGAACCGTTTGATGGGACAGTTCAGGTTTTTTAGGAATCCTGAGAACGTGACGAGTCCTTTTTACTATATTCCAAAAAATCACACTAGTCTTGCATCGCTTTGTTTTTGCACAAAAAGCACTTGTACCGTTGTTTGGGTTGTTGACATAATACAAGCCATGAGTCGTAACAGAAAGGCGGAAGTTGTTAGCATTAATATGGTGCAGTTTTGTGTCTTAGACAGGCGTGCATGACCTGTGCAATAGCTAATGAGTGTCGGTGTGTCAATGGTTAAAATCAATATGCAGGGGGAGGGATTTGTTGTAAATTGAAGCCCCAATCCAGCATTCCTTTGACCAGGAAAAGTGCATTAGTGAAGGTTACTGAAGACTTTCTTATCTACAATAAACTTTTGTAATAACTTTAAATAAGCCATCATAACAAAAACTACAGGTGTCTTTTTACCTTTGTGTTTTGCAAAAATGACTAAAAGCCTTTAGTGTTTGTGGATAACAGGGTTTCAGCAGGGGGTGCTACAACGTTGTTTTGGATTGGACTTAAGCATGGTAATGGTTGACTTTTGACATTGCAATTTTCCCATTGATTTATTTGATTATTCTTAGAAAACCAATGAATTCTCCCCTGCAAATGTCTAAGTATATTTGAACGTATAAGCTTGAATTATAATATATGTCAACTGTATTTCATGCTTCATATTCTATGTGACCCTACATGTTGCTGGCAAAGGAGATTATGCTGAAAGGTGCCAAACAGGGTGCATTATGGGAAACAGAGTATTTTGTTTAACTGGCTTGTTGGAATTTGATGAACCCCGGGAGCTACCGTACCTCTGGACATTTCTCAGTGGAAATGTTAAATGAACTGGGTGGGAAATTACATTCAAAAAGTTGTATTAAGTTGAGACAATCTAAGTTGTGCATTGCCCAAAGAAAATCCGATACTTCAAAAAATGAGGAATTGCCAAAGAAATATATTTGATCAACTACAAGAGGGTCACATTAATTTTTCTGGAAATTCGACCAAAAGTAATACAAATTTGGGGAGTTTTGATTAAAAAAAGGCAGAATTCTGAGAAAATAAATCATAAAAAATTATATTTCTGAGATTGACATTATTCTCGGTATTCTGACTTTTTCAGAACTAAACACATTTTTTTTTCAAAATCAAAAATCTTATGTGACCCTAATCCTGTTCCGTAGGTGTCCGCAAAAACACAGGTAGGCCTACATACTTTTTGGTTACCAAAAAAAGAATCTGCAGGAAGCAAAACTCGGGAAAAACGAGCTTATAAAACTTGTTGTCCCCAAGAAACAAAGAGAAATTGTAATGTTCCGAAACTTTTAGCTGGAACCACTCTATTCTTACCTTTTGGAAACAGACAGATGTATTTCCCACCCAGTCCAAACTGGTTTATTTTCTCTAAATATGATGTGAAACATTTCTGGTGACCTTGAGGGTGAACAAAGTTTAATACCACTTCCACAACATGTGATGCAAAAAAGAAGAATAAGGTGCCTTCAGATGGAGGGACATGACCATAAGAAAAAAATCAAAGAAAGACCACCTTGGAATATAAAGACAATTCAGAATCTAAACAAGTAATACAAAGTGATTGATTGTATCCATTCAAAAAACAAATATCAAGCCATTTACTGCATATTTTTGAAAATCTGGCTAAAGGACAGAGGCCGTCTCACGATCATCCAATAAAGGAACCTGAAACTGGACCTAATTTCATCTTGAAGGACTTGCAAACATCTGGACTGAAGTGCAGAACATGTTTCACCAACGCAGCACTAAGTGAAATATTCTTCAACAAACTCATTTTTACACATTATTTTTGCACCTTGTGTTACCATGCCAGTATTAACTTGTATTTCCTCGCTCTCTCCATTTGATCGAGATCACCAGATGTCAGGGCAGGAAGCCCGTGATGGCTGATATAAAGTTCCTTCGACCATTTGAACTATTTACCAGCCATTTGTACTTTTTTGGACTAGAACTAAACCTCTCAGTGCTTGTTACTTTCCTGTCCAAAGGGCAGGTTTTGCCAGCCTCATGAAAATATTTACCAGCGTTCAACTGGTGGATGGTGAGATATTCCTCTGATGTTCTGAATGCAATCATCAATAACATGGTTTTTAGTTTCCTTGTGATTACGTGAATGCGCCAACTGTAGATAATAACTGTACAGTGTGTTCTATTTTCAATGGGGCCAACTGCACCGATCTGTAAGTTCAGAATTGCTTGAATTAACAAAACGTATGCTCTAAAAACCAAAAGCTCATCAGGGTTCTTCACTTGAAAAACAAAACAATGAAAATACCTTAACTGTTTTTGTAGAAGCTTTTTGTTTTCGAGGTTTGTGGAAATACTGTCATGGATTATCAATGGACAGAGTTCCTCAGGGTACCGTCTTTGGTCCTCTATTGTTTTCAATCTGAAGAACCCCTTTGGCTTTTTAGAGTGTGCTTCTGATATTATTATCAATATTGTTGTGTAACAAGCTTCTACTAACATAACGTACTCCTTGGGCTGTTTTGTATTTTTAGCATTTTTGATTTTGTTATGTGCTTACAAGTGTGAGATATTTTTTTCTGATTGGGGCATCTTATAAAAGTACAACAACTTTTTTTTTGATTTTCTTAATATGTTGACAACAAAACCAAGACTTTTCGGTGACTAACCAACAACTAATATTTTCTAATATTTTAAATACAGACTGTGATTATTTATTTCACTCACCCCCGCATGGTTCTGCAAACAAACACCTCTGAATCATCGTGAAGCCTCTCACCAACCTTTTAATGGAAACAAGCAACACTTCTGCTACCAAACAACCTTTTAAAAACATTATATGCTAAGCTGCTAGGAACTGTGGATGGTTGGTTACCTATCATGTATCTAAAATTACTTACAGAAACACAAATGAACACCATGTCAAATAAAGGCTAGAACAATTAATTGAACACACTTGAAATAACAAAACAAACTTCTCGAGGAGCACTGGATTAAACCTACCTCGCACAGGATTACACAACATTTCACCCTGATCCACTGCGTGCCTGAGCTGAAGCACATCCTCACTAAAATGTATATTTTAAAGCGACCTTACCCTTGCTTTTGCGTGTTTTTGCCTACAGTACTGCAATTTACATTACTGCCAACCATCTTTCCACTAATCCCTGTGATTTTAAGAGCTCTTTCTTTCGGACAACCTTCGATTTTAGTGTCAATCTCTTTTTAAGGAAAATCAGTTTGCAGATACTCTGTTTATACAGATAGATAATCAGTACAAACAAACATACATTTAGCCATGACCTCAAACCCCTAGTGAGTCTTTACGACTTTGTTTCAGATTAACCTTGTGTTCTTGGACCCCAAATACCCACTTGCAGGTCCAGTTTACAGAAAATTCTTGTCAGTATTTTTTGTGTTTTTTCTTTTATTCTGGGGTTTATTTGCTTACACGAAAGCTAATTTATACAATCAACAACCATCAACACTCAAATGTAATGGTTAAAGGCAAATTCTCTATAATGGATTAGCTCTCTGCTGCACAATGCAATTTTCTGCAAGTAGATATTCATTGAAATAAACCAATAACTGCCTGGACATTAGGAAATCAATCTAAATGGATTGCATGGTTGGCACAAGTAATTTACAGTATATGCAGTTAAAGGATATACAAAAGCACAGGTATGGCACTTTAAATTCCACATTTAAATTCGTTTTTTTTCTGCCCGGGCCTGCTCTCCACTATCGGTTTGCATGTGATATTTATTACAGTATCTGCACTGAATGAAGCTGTATTATAAACATGAATGTACATAACCATTGTTTTATGAATAATAACAATGCGAATACTCACTTTGCTCCGCAGAGGGCAGTTTGTGTCGGGCTGGCTTTACAACAGGAATGGAAGATCTGTCTTTTAACGCCAAAAGAAACAGATCTGACTCCTGCAGGCAAAACAGGGAACATTTAAAAAAAAGAAAGAAATGAAAGCATATCAGATCCGATTCAAATAAAGTAAAAAATGTTGGATTCTTCTGTTCTTGTGTAAAGGAAAGCCTGTGTTGTGTGTATCTATACAAGGGCGATGGACCTGGGTCTGCGTTGTACGAAACAACACAATAGACCGCTTTGTGGAGAAAAAATATTTCTTGTTTATAATGTAGAGCAAAGAGAGACTGGAATAGTCCTTGTAAAATTGTATGAGTACAGTGTCAAATATGTGTCAACAGAGACAACATTATTTTAAAAATTATGTATGGAAAATTTTAGCTGTGTATATAAATATATATTACTTGTACTTTGTTTTTGAAATTGCAGAGATATGGAAAAAAGTGGAAATATTTATTGCTCTAAAGATATAAAAAATCTGTTCATGTTGATGGAACGACGTGTCCTGTTTTGTTTGCCCGATTTATGTGTATGCACAAACACATACACAGACACAGCTGTTTTCCAGCAATCACAAGGTTAAGGTAACATGTTAACACTTAGGGGCACTTTGTTTAAGAGTGAGATTCGGACAATGAATATACATTTTAAGGTAGGAAGTGGTTGGCTAAGCTTAGCAAATCTCACTGTTATATGTTTTTTTCCATTGTATAGAATTAATGTTCTCAAAACGTATATGGAAAAAACATTTTGATCCTACTACAAAGGGTCTTCTTGACACTTTTTGAAGTGGCACTCTTAAAGGTCATATTTTGTATTGGTAGTTAAATCTTATATTAGTTTACATTTTCTTTTAATCATATTTTATCTCATCTATGTCAGGATATAGCAGAAAACACCAGTCGTTATTTTTTCCCACACATCCGCTCTCTCCTCTCAAACTCCGCTGCTCTGCCAGTCCTGACCGTCAACCCCCTGCTTCACTGACATCTCGCAGCATGAAGTTGAGGCCATCATCAAAAAAATGAAACCCTCCACATGGGCCCTGGACCCCGTTCCCACAGCTCTGGTCAAATCTAACATTGGTGCCATAAGTCACCTGATCAGTTCAGTGATAAACCACTCCATTCAGTCTGGTCATGTTCCATCCCCATTAAAAGCCTCTGTCATCAAACCACTCCTCAAAAAACCCACCTTAGACCCTGAAGTCCTTGCTAATTACAGACCCATCTCCAACCTGCCATTTCTATCAAAGGTGCTTGAGAAAGTAATCGCCATTCAGATTCAGGAACATCTCAAACTAAATAACCTCTTTGAAAAATTCCAGTCTGGTTTCCGCCAGGGCCACAGTACAGAAACTGCCTTAGTCAGGGTGACCAACGACCTGCTGATGACAGCTGACACCGGATCTCCATCTCTCCTCATCCTCCTGGATCTAACTGCAGCATTTGACACCGTCGACCATGACATTCTACTCCATCGTCTTCGCTCGACGGCCTGTTTCTACTTTCAACATAACTCATTTGAAGATATAATGAGACAAAAACATATTATAATTATGATGCAAATAAAGAAACACATTTTTGTATGAAATTTCATTAAAGGTCATTTTTTTTATTGGTCATTTAATCTTGATCAAAATTCAACAAAAGCCAAACATTTTATTATTATCTCCCACCGGCCAAGCAAATACATTCAATAGTAAAAACCCTAAACATATTAAATTCAAAACCATATATAACAAGGAAAAGCCTTAAATTCTCTATCTTCTATCAAAATGATCGTAACTAATAGATTATTCAGATCATTGTTGCAGCTGAATTCTGTCGCATGAGGACTTTGAGGAAAGAAATACACTTTTCTCTGATAAAAGCCGACACAGCAATTCAGCTTTAGAGCTCATCCCTCTTCTCCTCCTCCTCCTCGTGGAAGACTTGTCCATCCGGCTGCTTCCTCCAGGCCAGTTGGACGTTGTCGTCCAATCCCTGGGCCCTTAGGTTCTTTTTCGCCTGAGACACAAAAACTCATTTTCATTATCGTTCCAATGAAAACAGATGATTTATTTATAGTTGTGTACAGTATGTATGTTCTTCTCCAAGGGCCACAGCATTGTTACAGAACAAGATGTTTTCTTCTCTGGAAGGAGACTACAGGTTGTCTCAGAGTATAAGTAGGAGTACACATTGACACAAACCTCAGTTTCAAAACCCACATCAAAAAGGTCTGCAATAAAGTGAAGTTCAATCTGTCAAATTTCAGATACATTAGAAACTTGCTATCAACTGCAGCAGCAAAGCTATACCTTCACTCAATGGTTCTCTCCCACATGAACTACTGTCTGATAAGCTGGTCTAATGCACACTCTACAGCTCTAAAACCACTGGAATCATTATATAAACAAGCACTAAACATAAAGCCATTCCGGTATCATCATTGCCACATTGTTAAAAAGTATAATCTGTTCTGCTGGGAAAATCTCATAGTTTACAAAAATGTTTACAAGATCACTCGTGGGTTGGCTCCTCCTCCTCTGGCTGGCTTCATCAGCCTAAAGCCCACCTCAACCAGGGCTACTAGAAGTGCGGCTAGACCGCACCATCCCATTTAGGAAAAGTACATTTAGCCAGGCTGTCTTTTCATTAAACGCATCCCATCAATGGAATTCAATACCACAATCAATAAGAGAGTCCTCATCCTACTACTCATTCAAGCACAGTGTTAAAAAGTGGCTCATTGACAACCAACAGTGTCAGCACTGATGTCTGTGTGTGTGTGTGTGTGTGTGTGTGTGTGTGTGTGTGTGTGTGTGTGTGTGTGTGTGTGTGTGTGTGTGTGTGTGTGTGCGTGTGCGTGTGCGTGTGCGTGCGTGCGTGCGTGCGTGCGTGCGTGCGGCCGTGCGTATTGTGAATGTTTTCTTTATTATTATGACTTGCTCCTTACCTGTATTCAGTGATGTCGTTTATTGTAAATATGTAAAAAAAAATTGTATAACAATGTAGTGGTATTTTTGTTCTTGCTTTTAGGATCCCTATCACCATCGGGCAAAGGGACTATCGGTGAAAACTAGCCTTTTGGCTAATTCAAGTACATTTACATGTTTTTAATATGTTGATTAATGTACACTGTCCCTTGTTTTAAATAAATAAATTTAAAAATTATTTAAAAAAGAGTTCACTCATCTGAAATGGTAGTTGTTCCCCTTATTTCTTCCAGTGTAAAGGCTTACATAGTATTTGTACATTTTCCTAATGCATTTGGTGGCATGTGGCTAAGTTTCTGCTATTTACTTCTGCACATATTTACACGTCTTCTTACTAAATGCTTGGGTCCTGTTATTTGTGGCCAAAGTATTGAATGTATAATGGATATAGAATTTCATTCATGTTCATCTTGGTCCATTTCATTCATATTGAAATTCATTTACTACATTTTCTTTTGTTGAATTCATTATTCTTTAATAGTTATTTATTTGTTTCCTATCTCTTTTGTCTCTTGTTCTCATGTCATGTGAATTTCCTTTCTGGTGATTGATGTTTTTGCAACAAAGTAGAAAACATGATTTACCTCCACCAACATCGCATCCAGAAAAGCGGGGTCGTTCAGTTCCACACCGTTTGGTTTCTCCACGCTCACCTTTATCACTTTCATTGAAACAGGCACAGCTAAAAACACAAACAAACTTCATCAGTCACAACATTTATGGTGTCTTCTTTTTCAACAGACTCAATATCATCACTTGCTTTGACGTAGCTGTGAATTTTACTCACGTCCGTAGCAAATGAATGGTTTCTTCAACCCACAGTCCGCGTCCTCCCATTTTCCAGAGTCGTGGAAAGCTGCAACCACACAAGCTTCATTATAGTTTCTGTTGTTAGGTTCACCTCCAGCCCAGTACCTAAAGGGGGAGAAACTTCCATCCGACCACTTCCAGGAGTCTCTGTAAAGGCCGATCCAATAATAATAATACCCTCCAGATACCAGCTCAACAATCTGCTGGTTCTCTGTCTTGTTTCTCACACTGGCCAGGTCTGTGTGGTGTTCTCTGCAGTAGCTCTGGGCCTCAGTCCAGTTCATTTTGCTGTCAGTGAGGACAAATGTCACATTCGGCCCTGAAAATGGACCCCAGAGAAGTGCTGAGTAGAGGCACCACGACATACAGCCTGACATCAATACTACATAGAAAATGTACGAGCTTTATTTTAAAAAGTATATCTTGGTGAATGAAAAAATCCTTAATGTTTACACCAAAGAAAAAAAAACTGTTCTGGGTTTTTTCCACATAGATATTTGGCAAGAAACTTTTGATCAGTTTTGGAATAAAAGCTGAAGGACTCATCATGGTGGACAAAGCAATACAAGTTAAAATGTGTATGCATATAATATTTCCTTTGTTAGCATTGGGCAGATTTAACACCTTGGACTAAAAACAATAATTTAGATGAAACCATGTCAGAATTGTATTTTGAAAAGGGGAAATGTGGATCTGGAACTCATAGACATCTGAAACATGACAAGGAGAAACATGATTTTGTAAGAGGTTGCAAACAGAAGAAGTTTGGGAACAACTTGTTTGGTTTAGACCAATGCATGATGATATGATTTAAATGTATAAATTAATATTCTTACCTCTGACATCTAGGCAGACTGCGTTTACTCTAGCAGCACAACCACCATCATTCCATAGTCCATTATTAGATATAATGAGTGTGCAGTGTTCGACACTGTATTTGTTGTTTGGTTCTCCAGACGCCCATTGTCTGAACTTCGTCTCCCGCGGTTTGAAGAAGCTTGTGTCTGACAGTGACCACATCCAGCTGTCCACGTCATCGTACAGCCCTATCCAGACTCGCTGAAAGCAATTTAAATGCTTATTTTGTATAAAGAATTAGACCCTGTTCTAGCTTTTAAATTGTCACACATCAACATCAACTCTCATTTACAGCCTTCATACTGCCTATCTGTCTGATCCTTCTAAACTTTATTCATGATTTTACAACGACTTTTCTTTACCTTCACATCAAATTGCAAAAGAAATGTAAATGACAAGATTTGTTCCCATTTTTTCAACTGTTTTTTTCTGTAATAATTCCTAAAAATACATACAAAAGTGTATTTAAGTACACCAAAAGCTTCAGCTATCTGTGGATATTTTTTCAGGTTTACAGTCTTTCTAATACAAAATGTCCTCCTTTGGTAACCCTCACTCCACAGAGTAAAACTCTGTCTGGTGAAACACAACGGGGGAGTTTTATGCTAAAAACATTTCATACTTCTACTCTACTACATTTAAGAGGGACATTTTACACTTCAGTTAAGTTATAACTGTTTTATGTAGGGTCCGATTTTAAAACTAAAACCCGTCACCAGCATGATGAATGAAAAGACAAAAAGTGAACTCACATAAATGTTTCCGTGTTCGCTCAGTTTGTTTGGATCTAACTTGTCGTTCAGGAGCTGCACAACCTCCATGCTGTCTACAGTGGCCAGGTCTGTGTGTTTCTCTCTGCAGTATCTCTGTGCTTCAGACATGGTCTTTGCTTCATAAACAAAATGGTACTGACGTTCAGCATGTGAGGAGACAGCGCTCAGCCCTGTAGAGACACATACATTTTGATTAGATTCAATATCAATTACTGAACCAACTTCTCCAAATTACATTAAAGTTAAACTGTAAATTAAACAACTTAAATAATTGTCAGTGGGAAACCACAATACAAAGTACTACAAATTGCTAATGGAATAACATACAGTATTTTAAATAAGAATATATAAAACTCTTGCCTGAAATAGCGATGATGATCAGAAGAACTTTTTCCATCCTTGTCTCTTCCCTGTTCTTCTCTTTTGGACTGAGACTGTAGATGTGCAGCTGTTTATATTATACATTAGGTTAAACATTAACTAACATTATGCGTTAGTCAGCTGCACTTTCGACTTAATGCAAAGTGGATATCGGAACAACAGTTTTTTATATCAGGCTTATTTCCTTACATTTGCATTTACAAGAAAAGACAAATAGAGTGATACCGGCGTAGGACTGGTGATACACGGCAAGAAAACCAAATTACAATTGTTTGTCAATACAGCCACCACGAAAATGTCCTTCAACGGCCGACACACTTCCTGGGGTCTTGGGAAGGTTCCTAACGGAGTGAAATGACTCAGAAGTTCCTCAGTGTCAGACGTGATAAGAGCTGATCAGATTCTGTAGATGATAGGAAAAGAGCTTCAGTGCTTCCTTTATAATCTCCTTTAGTTTAGGATACACTCGACCACCCTTTTAGAAATGAAAGGAGAAAATGTTGTATATATTTTAATGTAATAATGTTGTTCACTGTTGTTCATGTTTATAAATCATCACCACAAAGAGCAAAGTATCTACATGCACTTTTAGTAATCTACTGTTTCCTCATGGCAGACGCACATCAATAACATCCGCTGGCCAATCATTAACATCCTAATGTAAATGCAGTCAGATTCAGTTCGCACCGCAGTTGTCTTTTCCTGAGTCCTGATGTATTCTCCTTTGCATTTTCTCTTAACCCTATGATGTTTAACTCAGAAGTTAAGGAATAGTGGTTTTAAAAAGACGATAGGACCTGCATTTTTGGAAATTCAACCCCAACTGTGTGGTCAAAAAGGTCATCAAAAATATCACTCGCCACCGGCTTCAGCTTCAATATCAGGATCCATGTATTTATTATCCATGCAAGAATGGAAGTAGTCATCATACAGAGCATTTGGTACAACTAGTTCCTGAACAGTGTCCTTCAGATGCTTATATACAAGAGAGTTGTTACAGTCACAAGATACATGTATACCGGTTTAAATGCTTAGTTCAGATTAGCCAAGACCCACGTCAGAAATGATCATGCTTGTCATATGTCTATCTCCATAGAGGCTGAATCATCATGTTAATCACATAGCTATCTTATGCTTAAAACAGTCCTGATGCTCTTCTAGGTAATCATACATCCTGTCATGTACACAGCTACAGTAGGGCCTTTGTTATCATGTTACTCTGATATTGGAAAAGTACATTCAGTATTTTCCCAACACAACTCCAAGAGCCACATTACACTGAAGCACGAATGGCAAAAGAAGGAAAGGAAGGCAAAGGGAAAGATCACATATAAATATTCAAAGTTCTGTGGCCTTCATTGACTTCCTGCAGACTCTTCCAATGAATTCATCAGTCCATCTTTGCTCTGTTCCCCTTTTCGTCCTTTGCATATAGCTGATACTGCATGTTTGTTTTAAAGTTTATGTGGGTGTCATCGTAAAAGCAGTGTGTTTGTTTTACATGTTCAAATGTTTGCATGTAGGCTAGTTTGTTAGGAAATACTGTTGCCCATGTCTTGACCAGGCCTCCATTGGATGATACGTTTTCCATTCTCAATGGGACTTGAATAATTGTTTAATAATAATACATTTAAAAAACATTGCATGAGGCGATTGAAAAATAACTCAACTTAGCTCAAACAATCAGTATCAAAATAAAAAACAGAATACCTCTATTCGTCCCACAGAGGGGAAATTTGCATTTGTTACAGCAAGAAAAGAGCCAAAGACAGCTTAATGTTAACCAAGAAGGATGCATAAAAAAATACCAAAGATACAAAAATTACACAATTTACAAAATAGACATCCTGTAACAGTTCTGAGAGATATAGCAGCCAGGTATATATTGCACAGCTATTTACGGCATATGTATATATTGCACATAATTGGTATTGCACAACAAGGGGTGTTATAGTCTTTGTTGTTATATGTGTGGGGGTCTACCAGGGACCATGATGGTTATACAGTCTGACCGCTGCAGGAAGGAAGGAGCTGTGAGTATCTCTCTGTGAGACATTGGGCACAAAGCTGGCCTTCCTTACCAATCTGTTCAGTCCCTTCCTGTCAGCAGCCGAGATGCTGCAGCCCCAGCAGGCCACAACATAGAAAATGGCTGATGCCACAACAGAGTCATAACATTTCTGAAGGAGTGCCCCCTGCACCCCGAAAGACCTCAGTCTCCTCAGCAGAAAGAGTCTGCTCTGTCCCTTCTTGTACAGAGCAGCAGAATTATCAGTCCAGTCCAGTTTATTGTTCAGATGAACACCCAGGTATTTGTAGGATTTCACAATCTCAATGTCCGCTCCCTGGATTGTCACTGGTGTGGGGGGTGTTGGGGAAATATTTTCCTGGGCCCATAACTTTGACCCAGTTTATCAGTTTGTAATGACCTCACTGAACACAGGCCTGAAACCTTGGGCTGCTGTGCTCTCAGTGTGTTGTCTCCCTGTTCCTGCCTGTTGGCGTCAGCTGATAGCAGAGATGGAGTAAAATCGGCACTCGAGAGACTCGACTCGCGCACTGATTGACGCGGACTCGAACTCGGACTCATGACTCAACTCACATATGATGTTTGTCAATTTAAAAGGTAATTTTGCAAGTCAAGAAAAAAAAAGTTTGTCGTAAAACTGTGAAGTAACACTTATTTTTGTGTGAAACCACTCCATGAACTACATCTCTGGTCTCGCCCAACACACGTCACCAAGATGGCCGTCACCTTAGCACATTTCACCTCTTTCTTTCAGAATGAGGCGAAAATCATTACACGTCTGGGTATGTTGAGAGCTGCAAATACACAAAAGGGGAGTTAGTCGAGACCTCTCCAACTGCTATTTGGAGAGGTCTCAGTTCACCTCCTTGGCCGTGGTGCCCTTGAGCAAGGCACCGGACACAGGAGATATGAAAGTGAGTATTGTATGAGACTTGAAATGTTTTTGCCATATTTCAAACGTCTTTGTTATTCTTATTTTATGATTGCATACAAAACTTAAAAAACATATTTTTAATTTTTATTTTACCACTATGTCGAATCCACTGTTTCCGGTCGAACCGGAAGTCCTTCGTCGTGTTTTAAATCTGTCGAACGTGTGTCGCGTTGCTCGTTCACAAAGTTCATAAATGTGGTAAGTTTACGTTAATTATGAACACCTCTTTTCAAATATCAACAGCAAATATCGGTCCGCCAACGTCTGCAACATAAACCGTGCTGTCATGGAAACAAACGATTTGTAGAAACACTCATTCAAAGAGGAACTAGGTTAGCTTTAGCATAGTTAGCCGTCTTTAGCTAACTATATATTCGGTGACACAGCCGCTAATTCTAACATCAGCTGGTTGTTGTTTAATGAAGTTGGGGCATGTGTCAGTAGGGTGATAGACGAGCTTCTTTTCATTGTGTTAAAAGCTACGACAGGAGCTTAAATGGTGTCCTGGTGTTTTGTTTTGGTTAGCCGTTAGCTGCTCGTCATGTCGTCTGCTGCCTGTAACAGGTCGGTTAATGTGTCAAAAGATCTTTCACTGATACAGCTGAAAGTCGTTCATTCAAAACCTTAAGATACCTTACGTTTAAAAACAGAAATATAGGCATCAGAATATACTGCAGGTATTAGAGTAAGAGTACACATAATGTAGACTCATTTCAGAATGATATACATCTTGTTATTTAATTATATTTACTGATATGGTCATTTTATATGATTTCTATATTGTTCTGGCAGCACTTGTGTCACTGAATCCAATGTTCGACGTTGTGTAGTTATAGTAAGTTAGATGTAGCCTACCTAAATAATACCATATTAAGTCATTCTTGTTGCAGCAGCAGAAGACACAGTACATGTGTTAGCTGTAACCTGTATTTTTAGGCAAGGTACGTTTATTTGCAGAGTTTGGGGACGTAAATTAAACTTCATATTCAAATGTGATTAAGATCATCACATATGTATTACTCTGTACATGTTCATCTACAAATCTACATGAAACCGATGAACTAGAGACAACATCTTATTGCTGGATATAGCTAGGCTATAGCTCACTTCACTAATCCACTGTGTCTGTGATCAGAAGGTCACAGGTTCAAGCCCCTGCTGATATCTCTGTATAAACTGTACTATATCTCTGTATAAACTGCACTGGTGTGATCAGAGCCAGAGTGTCTAAGACCATAGACTCTGGTTTATACCACACCACAGATCAACAGGAGAGTGGAGAACACTGGGCCACTTCAGAGTGGTCTGGTCCTGCACTGCTCCTGACATTATCATTATGGGAGGCTGTGGCTCAGTGGGTTAGTGCGCTGATCTTGACTGCAGTCAGCATGTTGTTGTGTCCCTGGGCAAGACACTTCGCCCCAAATTGCTCCTGTGGGGATTGCCCACAGTACCGAATGTATGTAAGTCGCTTTGGATAAAAGCGTCTAACAAGTGACATGCAATGTAATGTAATGTGGGATATATGAAATAAAAACATTGTGACATTAAGTCTTTGTAAGTCTGTTGAAATGTATATTTGATGGGGTGTTTCTCTCTTTCAGAGCGTCTCCCTGTCTTTCTACGGTTGGCTGGTTGAACAGAGAGCGATGGCCGGTCCAGAGCTCCTGCTGGACTCCAGCATTCGGATGTGGGTTGTCCTACCCATCGTCTTCATCACCTTCTTCGTGGGGATCATCCGTCACTACGTCACGCAGCTGCTGCACAGCGACAAGAAGGTCGACCTGGAGCAGGTGTCTGACAGGTGAGGGATCATTTTAATTGAAATAATTTGTTTATTATTTGTCTGTTTACCAAGAGTAAACAGATAAAGTGTTTAATAGAAAGTCAAGTTGTCATACATGATCATACAAAAAACTATATTGCCATCAATTACTATGTGTTTGCTTAAGTAAGGTGTGTATGTTCCCTATATGTCTATATGAGAATAATAAGAATAATCCGAAAGTTTCGTAACAACAACAAAAAGGTTGTATTGTAATTCAAAAGTGTTATATCAGTCATACAGAAGTATAGTTCGTTTGGCAGCAACAAGTCAGTGACTTTGAAGTTATAATAAACTGCATTTTTCCAATGTTTGGATTGATGCTTGAGAATTTGCTCGTCGACTAATCTGTATTTTTGTTTGTGTTCAGCCAGGTGCTCCTGCGCAGCCGCGTCCTCAGAGAAAATGGAAAGTATATTCCCAAACAGGTAAGCACACAATCACTAGGAATCAGGAATTTGAAAATCATATACATTTAGTGCTAATGCTGTCTTTGTCATGTAATCGTATTGTAATATTTCTTTGAAAAGTTAAAACGCCACTTAGAAACCCTACAATTTCTCTGTTAGGTTTATGAAAAATGTAGACCCAAAAACGACAGCGTCATTTTGAGCTGTATGATAGACGGTAAACTTGATGTATACTATATGTTACATTAACTACTTTCCATATTTTTGAGGTTTGTACTCATGTTTTGTCTTTTCATTTTGTTGAGATTAAAACCCAGTAACACATATAATCACTGGCAGTTTAAAGAATGTGAACATTCTCTTTAAAGTTATATAGGTTGGAATACATCGAAAGGCTCTGATCTGTTGTGTGTAAACATGTTTCTCTGCTGCAGTCTTTCGCCATGAGGAAACATTACTTCAACGACGCAGAGACCGGCTTCTTCAAGAAGGTCAAGAGGAAGGTCGTCCCCAAGAACCCCATGACAGGTGTGTGTGTGTGTGTGTGTGTGTGTGTGTGTGTGTGTGTGTGTGTGTGTGTGTGTGTGTGTGTGTGTGTGTGTGTGTGTGTGTGTGTGTGTGTGTGTGTGTGTGTGTGTGTGTGTGTGTGTGTGTGTGTGTGTGTGTGTGTGTGTGTGTGTGTGTGTGTGTGTGTGTGTGTGTGTGTGTGTGTGTGTGTGTGTGTGTGTGTGTGTGTGTGTGTGTGTGTGTGTGTGTGTGTGTGTGTGTGTGTGTGTGTGTGTGTGTGTGTGTGTGTGGTGTGTGTGTGTGTGTGTGTGTGTGTGTGTGTGTGTGTGTGTGTGTGTGTGTGTGTGTGTGTGTGTGTGTGTGTGTGTGTGTGTGTGTGTGTGTGTGTGTCACTTAATTTTTGCCCGAGGCAGGAAGTAAAATACGTTTTAATTTCAATGTATTTTCCGTGTGTTAAGATATACTTTTCATTTCTGTTTTCCCGAACTTAAAAAAAGGAAACTGTTTTGGACTTGAAGCTTTCGCTAAGGCAGTTTCTTTGTTTTGTATTAATTCACATGAGCAATTCAGTCCATTATCTAAATGTAGTTTATGTCTATTATATCATTTTTTAACTCTATGGAATAAATGTGTGTGTATTTGTTTTTAGACACCAGCATGCTGACGGACATGATGAAGGGGAACCTGACCAACGTGCTGCCCATGATCGTGATTGGGGGCTGGATCAACTGGGCCTTCTCTGGGTTCGTCATAAGTGAGTTCTCCAGCTGTTAGTCATTAACCCTTTAACACCATTATACACTGGTTAGCTTTTTAACCCTTTTTATTAAAGATACAACCATTTTGATTCACATTTTCAAAGCTTATATAAAAAGAAAAAGTCAGACTGTTTAGAAGGCTTTGAGTTTTTAAGAAAACACTAGGGATGCTCCGATCGCCAATTTTGAGGCCGGAATCAGTATCGGCCGGAATCAGTATCGGCCGATACCGATCGAGTGGGCTCTACCATTTAAAGTGATGTTTAAAACGCAGTTCATGGGGCTCATTCACTGGCGCTTCCACAAGCAACAACCAACATAATTATTACATTCAAATGAAGTACATTATTCAAGTTTACATTAACTTTGGATAATAACACGGGAGAAATGAACGGAAGCCTCTCTTTTCCTCTCTCCCTCTCTCTCTCTCTCTCTCTCTCTCTCTCTCTCTCTCCTGACAGCCCGTCAGTATCTCCTGCAGCTCACTGATCCAGTAATGAGTGACCCGACAGTGAAGAATAAATATATGTATAACTAGTTTAGCTTGTTCCAGAGGTAGATAAAATAGCTAAGTGTGTTAGGTCTAACTCTTAGTGTGTGTTCTGCTCCGCTCACCGGTCCGTCACAGCGGGTGGAGCTGCAGGATTTCTGCTTAGACACGTTGCATACCGGCCGCTACTTTATTGTCTTTTTCGGACACCTTAAAATACTGCCAGACTGGTGAAGCCATTTTGGCGAGCTTGTTTTGCCGCGCACAGAGAAGAGTGTCATGTATTTTACGTCATCATTTTACGGCTCTCGCGATCTGCATTTTTAGAGAGCACCGATCGATCGGCAGAGAGTGAATATCGGCCGATATCGATCGGCGGTCGATCGATCGAAGCATCCCTAGAAAACACTATCTGTATTTCACAGTTTAAGATAGTTTAAGCTGCTGGTTATTAAAGTTAGTCTGTCTTTTTAATTTAAATGTTCTCCTTTCTTAAGTTTCCGTCAGAAATACAGCAGCTAAACCTCTCTTAATGTAAACAGCTCAAATCTTCTATTTCACTGTGAATGCATCACCGCACAGAAACTAAAGTCGCTCTAACTTATTCTTCTTTGTTACTTGAAGTAAAATTAAATAACATTCCAGTGACCCCAACCCTATTCCTGTTTGTTTGTGATTGTTGTTGTTGTCTTGTAGCCAAGGTGCCGTTCCCCCTGACTCTGAGGTTCAAGCCGATGTTACAGAGAGGAATCGACCTGCTGTCCCTGGACGCCTCCTGGTAAAAACACACCGACGCTCCTCAGCAGACCATGAACACATCTCAGACATTCACCAACAATATCTTACAATCGTGACAGTTCAGGCAAACAGTCAACTTACTCAAAATAATCCGTTTTCTACCATTAATATCTTTATTAATACTTATACACCACTGTATTCATTGAAATATATTCATTTATACATATTTATTTAATGTTTATATTTGTGTTTTTTTTTTGCATTATTTTATCCTTTTATTCTTAAATAAATTGTCCTCAGGATAAATAAAATACATGTATATGATTAATATATAACAGAGCTTCTACAGTGATGTATTTATATTAGGAGCTATTTCTCTTACATCAAAAAGAAAAGTGAAGAGTGACAGTTTTATTGAAATCTAGTTTTTTAATGGCGACCCATAGACATAGACCAGTGCTTCTCAAAGTGTGGTCCGCGGACCACTGGTGGTCCGTGAGGGCCCCCTAGTGGTCCGTGAGTATATTGGTAAAATTTCACATTTGAAATAAATAAATACATTTAAGTTTTCCGCACTCTCGCAGAAATATCTCCGCAATGGAGCGAGCTTAATTTTCACTTTCAATTGCATGATATAGCCCAGCGCAACACCTTCATCACACATGTTGCCACTTGTTTGTACCATTTTCAGACGATTTGTAATCTGTTCTAGAAAAACGATGTGATTTTGGATATTTGTGGAGTTAGGTGGTCCTTGGTATGAAAAAGTTTGAGAAACACTGACATAGACAGACATCATTTTATAAATTATATTTGAGTGAGTGGACCGCTAGTCACAAAACTTCTTCCGTCATAAAGTGTCACTATGACTTTTAACATTTGGGGGGAAAATCTAAAATTAAATGAAGTTCAATAACTATAAGTTCAATTAAAATGGCCAACAATAAACAGACATTTTCATAACAATGGCCTGTGTGTCCATATTTCAATGCTCAAGTATTTTGCCTGTATTTGTTTTAAAATGTGCTGTTTTTGAATATGAATCTGCAGGGTGAGCTCAGCGTCCTGGTACTTCCTGAATGTGTTTGGCCTGAGGAGCATGTACAGCCTCATCCTGGGACAAGACAACGGTGAGTCTGACCCATGGATGTATAATAAGAACTGGATACAGCGTGGGAGGCGGGGTCTCGTTCTTAAATTCCTATGAGAGCTGCTCATTGGCGCATGAAGGCAAAATGGCACAACTTTTGAGAGAGCGAAACGTCACAGATTACCCGTCATGCCTGGCTGTCAGAGCAGAAGAACCCGTATGTGCGCTCATAGAGCATGCACCCCTTAAGCCCCGCCCCCCGAGCTCCCACTCTCTGCTCACTAGAATGAATGGAGAGAGAAAAGAAATCTAGATTTGGCTTTTAGTGCATTTTACAACTTTAAGGACCGAATGATTTTAATAAGGGCTATAAAATAGTTCATACTGGGTAGTTTATTCAGTTAAAAAAAAAATATTGGTCTGATCCCTCTCTCTCCCGCCATGACTGGAGTTTCACATCTGTATGAAAAGAGTCCTACACTTGGAGACATATTTTATCGGTCATTATAGAATGTGAAGGTTGTCTTGACTTAAAAAGTGTTACAGTTCAAGTCCAGTGGATCACAGCTGGTGTTCAAAGCTGCCATAATGTCAGAGTAACACAGTTCAAAGATGAGAGTTTGTCCGCTTGATTCCATTGATTGAATATGATGTTAACTCTTCAGCTGCTGACCAGTCGCGGATCATGCAGGACCAGATGACAGGTGCTGCCATGGCGATGCCTCCCGACCCCAACAAGGCTTTTAAGGTGAGATTTCGTAATAAATAAAAAACTATTAACGCCATTAGCTTGGTCCAGTCTTTTTCTCGACAGCTCAGGAGCCTTTTCATTTTTGTAAATCCATTTGTAACTTTTAAGAGAGGTGCTATTTCGAGAAGTATTATTATCCCAGGAAACATTTAGTGATTTTTTTGTGTTATGGTCCACGACAGCTTTATGCATATTTATGCTATATAAGTAACATGTATTATTATTATTGTTAAAGGGGACCTATCATGCAAAATCCACTTTTTGATGTCTTTTATACATGAATATGTGTCCCCGGTGTGTCAGGGAACTCACGCAGCGTCAGAAAACAAATCCCCCTCTCTTTTCCTCCGTACCCAAATCTCTAAAAACGGGGCTACAACGGAACTGATCCAGATTTGCGTCCGATATGACGTAATATCTGAAATGTGGACCCACGGCACTATCAGAAACGTTGCTATCAGAAACAATGCCCGACTGTTTTGGAAGTAATATGGTCTTTGTTTACATTAGCAAGCATCGCTAACACTCAGAGCTAACCTTGAGGCCTGTACTACGAAGCCGGATTTTCGCTTAGTGAGCTAACTTCAGGGGAAACTCTGGGTTTCCGGTCCTACGACGCTGGTTCACTTCTTAGCGGGCTAGATCTCCATGGTAACTTATGCTGAACGGCTAGCCTGGTCCGGAGCAGGTTAGGTTCCAGGATAAGAGATCAACTCAGTGAAAGCACCGCCTGCGGACCAATCAGAGCTCAGTGTGCAGAGTTTAAAGCTATCAAGTCATATTACAGGAGAAAGGAAATGCAGAAAAACTGCCGTTGCAGGAAAGACTGACTGTGTGAACGTGAAAATTAATAGAATATCCCCTCCCATCTTCAGAGCAATCTGACTAATGTAACATTAGCGTTAAGAAAGCTTACTTAAATATCTGCCACAACATAAGTAACCGGATCAGAGTAACATTAAGTACAGTCCACGGCACTGTGAGTGCAGACGTCGATGTGTCCCATTATCATTCATATCATATCACATCATAATGTATCATATATTTCCTTATCTGAGTCAGCTTCTTGAGCCGTATCTGGCCGTGCAACACTCACAGTGTCACATACTGTATGCAGAAGTATTATTTTAAGCAACACATTAAGTTGACGAAACACTTTAGTCAAATGTAATTAAAGTCAGATCCACTCGTGTCTTAGACGGGGCAGTGATTTCATAAACCTGTTAATGTACGCATTCAAACGCTTTTTCTTTTACCAGCTGTATTCACCTTGCAGGTGCAGCTATGTGGCTTTTATCCTGGAAAAAGTGTTTAAGTCATGGATGTTTAAAGTTTAACATCTTCATATTTGTCTAATATTATAGTTGACTTTTCATTCAGGAAGTATGACGCTGCGCTGTCAGTACGCTTCTCCATGTTTGTGATTGGTCAAATGTTGCTAACCCCGCCCCTTTTATGTGAACGCGCACTCAGACGGACAGAGAAACCCTGGCTTGAGTTAACGAGTTGATAACCAGCGTCGTAGGACCGCTTAGCGAGATCGCGTTTGTTTTGGATTAGGTAAGCCGGGTAACTCAAACATATCCAGGTTATGTTGAACCAGCTTCGTAGTACAGGCCTCTGGACTGGAGAGAGTGGCCGTTTCTCAATGTCGAGTACACCTGCTGCAGAGCCACTATTTCAAGTATACTACGTCATCGAGTGGCGCCGAATGCTGGGCATTTAACATGCATTTAAACAGTCCTTCTGCGCCACTCGATGATGTAGTATACTTGAAATAGTGGCTCTGCAGCAGGTATACTCGACATTGAGAAACGGCCAGTATGTGTTTAAAAAGCAGGAAATAAAAAAAGGAACTCACCTTGTGGTAAACCCGAAAGAGAAAAAGCCTTTGAGCTCCATACAGTTTCAGAAATAATCCTTGATGTGGGTTTGAACATGATATGGTGTTTCATTACGGCAGAATTTAGCTGAGTAGCTCATAGAATTCTGATCAGGCATTAGTTCCGCCTCTTATTTTTTTTTTCAAGCTAAGGACCCAGATCAGCGTTTCTCTAACAGCTGAAACAGAGCGATATGAGGGATGTCTAAAATGCATGATCTGTTTGGTATTTTGAGCAAAACACATCATAGACATGTTTTTTATATATTTTGATATATCTGAGACCCATAATGTATGCCTAAAAATTGCATAATAGGAGACCTTTAAGTCAAATGAAAAATGTGAGTAAAACTGACCTGTATTGTTTATCTGTTTGTTCTCTCAGAGTGAGTGGGAGGCGCTGGAGATCGTGGAACACAAGTGGGCGCTGGAGAACGTGGAAGACGAGCTGATGACCAGAGACCTGAACTTTGGAACCCTCTTCACGCAGGACATCAAGTCCACCATGTTCTAGACTAGAGAGAAACCCTGAGGAACACCTGAGACTAGGGTTCTAGAACTCTGTCCTGAACATTCTAGAACACTTGAGAGAATTCTTAAATCTGGAACACAGTATAACACAAATGCTAGAGTTAGATCATTTAATGTGATCACTGTATTCACCTTCATCGGGCACTTTATTTACTTTCTGCCTTTTTACCTGCCTCCAAATTATTGTGTCCAAGTTGTGCCTTCATATGTTCAATGTGTTGATTTATAATTGTTTGTTAAGAGTTCTTATTCAACTTTTTGACAATTAGATAGTAACTTAAATAGACCCACTTACTAGCCTTTTCCAAAATCTTGTGTCTTAATTTGCAAATGAAGTTGTCAGCTCAGTTGTTGGGTTGGTGTATATTATTTAATTAAAGTGTTCCTTAAGTTAATTTTGTCTAGAATAACATTGTAATGAAATATTTGCTTGTATCCAGTGTTCCAGAATCTCTCATGTTCTAAAGGTTCTAGATAGTTATTCTAGCCCGACCCTTTCTCGGCTCTGACTTGTGGAGCTGACTAGTTCGGGGTTCGGGGTTGTTTCAGTAAACCAGCGGATTCTGACACCAGACGAATCTCCTCAGGAAGATGTTTCTGTCGGGTGCGACGCAGAAACAGGAAGTTTAAAGACCACTGGGACGTTATGAGAGCTTTAACTGACGGCAGGCGTTCATGTTTCCCTGCAGGCGGACTCTTTGCATGTGTTTTTTACCCCGTGGTCATCCAGCGCGACTTGAAGTGAGTGTGACAGTTTAATAAAGGTGCCATCGAACTAACTGCCTTTCTCTTGTCTCTATTCAACACCGAGGTTCACCCTCTATAAGAAACTGAGGAAGCAGAGGATCAAATAGCCGCTTTCACACCAAGTACTTTGCCGTACTTAGTTCCCAGCACTTATGGCGCATTTCCATTGCAGGGCCTCGCTCGGCTTAGTACGGTATAGTTAGGCCTTGTTAGGCCAGGCTCACTTTATGCTGCGTTGCCATACAGTTTAGTAGCTGGGGCAGTAACTATAGTAACGTAGTGTAGGCGGAGCCGTGACGTCATCTTCAATGAGAACCACAGAAAAACATCATCCGTTAGTTGTTAGCACTCAAGCTCGCAGCTCCTCATATCTGTTCAGAAACTAGACAAAAGTTAAACAAGTACAAACCACAGACTGTCGGTTTATTTATGTCTGTAGGCCGATCTCCATTTAGAAAACACGCCTTTTAAAAGGTTTTTCGCCTGCCGTCTTGTCTGCAGACTTGTCAAATCATTAATTCATGGTTTTTACTAACCGGTATCAGTATGTTGTTACTTCGGCATCATTTTGAAACGTGTATTACAATTAAATCACGTCAACTATGTTCATTTTGTTGTAGTTGTAGCCCCCTTGCCAGCGATTCTCTCTCTCTCTAGTTTGGCATACTCAGCCCGACTCAGCCTGGTTGTTGGCCCGATAAGAACCTCGATTTTATGGGGCCAGAAAAACTGAAATAGTACCTGCTAGCCGGTACTACGCCTAGTGGAAACGCAACCAAAACTTAAAGTCCCGGCCTACAGTTCTCTATCAGATAGACGGTTCGGCCAGACGAGGCCGACACGGAAACGCAGAAAACGATAACGATAACGACAACGGGTCCCTAGGTGGGTAGATCTGCAAACAAAACGCTCTGGGGGGGCAAACGGCTCCGTGTTTACGCCTATACGATCATGTCCTGATAACGATGACGCAATAGCCCCGCCTCTCCCCACCTCTCCTGCTCAGAGATCAGCTGCTGGGCTGGCAGAAGAGGGGGGAAGATAATATTATTATTATATAGAGTCATTATTCATTTGTTTTAAAGCTCAATAAATAACAAAGAAGACCTCTGACCGGCACTTTTCTAATTTTGTCCGGAAGATTTCAACTTTAACGGACATGTTGACCGGCGAAAAAAAATCTAACAAACTCTGCCGCACGGTCCCCTCGTCCCTTGGAAGAGGCGGAGAAGTGGGTGTTTTTCATCTGCTGGTGGACTACCGGAGAGATTTACAGCAGGAGCAAACGCTTGCCTCGGGGAGGGAGAAAAAGAGCCAGAGCGTCCACAGCGGAGAATAAACAGAAGGGCAACCATGGCAACCATGCGCGGGAAGTCTTCTTCGCTGCTTTTGTGGTAGGAGTACAGCGCCACTTACAGGCCCGGCATATGTACTACAGCGTCTCCAGCGCTTTCGACCGGTCTCGTGTGAACGGACACGTTTCTGGTGCCTGTTGCGTGTGGACGGAAGACTTTTTTGATAACGATTGCGGTCCGTTTGCGTTATCGTCCTCGTGTGGCTGGGGTCTAAACCGCGCTGTAGTGGAAATGCGCCATTAGTTCCCTGAGGGAAGATTACGCAAATGAAGCCGCTGACGTCACTTCTTCTTCTTCTGCTTTGGGTTTACTGGCAGGCCACAAACAACTTCACGGCGTATACTGCCACCCGAAATCCCCGGCCGGAAGTCCCCGGAGTTGGGGACTGAAGCCTTCCGAGTAAATCGCCAGAACGCCGACACCTCTTCATCACCCCACCGCTCCAATGTTTTTTTTTGTGTTGCCACAAGTTATTCTCTCTCCGTTGGTGCGCGGGGCTAATGCTAATGCTAATAATGCTAATGCCAGCAAATACAATAGGCACTTTCACACCGGAGTACTTTTACCCGTACTTTTCCCGCTTAGTTCCGTTAATTTTGCGTTCACACCAAAAAGAGAACTTAGTTCAGAGAACTTTTATCCCCATTTTTAGTGCCTGCTAGAGAGGTGGGACTATCCTGGGGAGAAAAAAGTACCAATTTCTGATTGGCTGGGCGTATTGCAAACCACGCCCCGTAAAAGCCGCCATTGTATTTGCTGGCATTATTAGCATTAGCATTAGCCCCGCGCACCAACGGAGAGAGAATAACTTATGGCAACACAAAAAAAACATGGGAGCGGTGGAGTCAGGGCCGGCCCTTGGCATAGGCAGTATAAGCGAATGCTAAGGGCGCATCAACCCATCGGGGGCGCCGAAAATTGGGGAGAAAAAAAAAAGAAAAAAAGTTAGAAATTAAAAAAAGATATATTTTTTTTTTAATTCATAACACAATTTCCCAATTTTGGATCAACAAAGTACATCTTATTATCTTATACTAACAGAACTACGCCTATATTGCGTATAGCGCCCATAAACTATGGCGCACCTCCCCCCCCCAAAATCAAGTTGAACTGCCCCAGCCCCAGTAAAAAACAGAGGTTTATGTGAAATTGTTCTTTTTTTGAAATAATGGTTTCAGTGTGCAATTATAGGTTTTAATTTTGTATTTGTGTTAATTTAAAATAAATCAAACTCCCAAAAAACTTACACAGCTTCTGTGTGCTTTTGTTAACATTGGAATACTGTGTAAGCGGCCGCGGGGGGGAGAGCTAGAGAGCTCTCTCCTGAAAGACTGAGCGGCTCTGATAACCTCAGCTCAGTGAGGTAAAGGCACACCTTTATATGATCATTGTAGTTATAAAAAAATAAGAGAATAGATGAAAAACAGGTATAAAATACTATATGACAGTAAACAAAAGTTGTTTAATAAACAAGAATACAATTTAAAAGGGGAGTGATTTGTAAAATATCCATAAAGAAAAAGAAAATCTGCTTACAGTTCTGTTTCATCAGAGATGTATCCATAGATCTCTCAAAGTGCACCAGATTGATGCTTTTAACTTCAATATTTAAAAAAAAAAATCTTCCGTGGGAGCATGCCCCCCGGACCCCCCTAGAGGATGTTAGGTCCACCCCCACTTAAATCATGTTCACATGGATAAGAAACTAAATACGTTTTGCACACATCTTATGTCCATATCTTTCTGTTTTGGTGGTCATGCCACAACCGTACACGTGCATGCATGCGCGAGTCATAGTGAGTGTCTGCATTTTGGGGGGGGGCTAAAATCTTGCCTAGGGCAGCAAATTGGTCAGGGCCGGCCCTGTATGTATATACATAATACGTGTCAGTACGATTTTATTTTGTATTTGCGTGCATTTCCTGTTTAGAAAGTGGAGGTGTCCTGAGACTGTCGCCTGCAGGCAGGCTCCCATGCTTTTCTTTGTTGCAGGGCCGAATTCACCATATACATGGAGAGGCGAAATCCCTCCCTTTCCGGTGGGACTCATGGGACCTTATTTCGGAAAAAGTTTTTATTGAAGTCAATGGAGAGAGAAAGATTATCTTTCGATCCCGTTTGAATTGTGCCACGAATTACACATATGATGTTTGTCAATCTTAAATAATAATTTCCATGTCAAAAAAGTCACAGTTTGTCGTAAAACTGTTGAAATATAAGACTATGAAAAATACGCAACTAGAAAGACTACAAATCCCAGAATCCCGGTCCCGCATGCTGGCTCTTATGAACCGACTAACTCCCCTTGTGTGTATGTAGCTCTCAACATGCCCAGACTTGGAGTGATTTTCACCTCTTTTAATACTTTTCGCCTCATTCTGAAAGAAAGAAGTGAAATGTGCCAACGTGACGGCCGTCTTGGTGTGTGGTGCGAGACGGGAGATGTAGGTCATTGAGCGGTTTCACACAAAAAAAGTGTTACTTCACAGTTTTACGACACATTTTTATTTTTTTGACTTATAAAATTATCTTTTAAATTGACAAACATCATATGTGTAATTCGTGGCTCAATTCAAACGGGATCGAAAGATAATCTTTCTCGCTCCATTGACTTCAATGCATAACTTTTCCGAAATAAGGTCCCATGGAGCTCAACCGGAAGAGGAGGGACTTCGCCTCTCTATTGGGGGGGACACGTCCCCCCCAATATTCAGATACACTCAAAATGTCCCCTCCCCCCCCCAATAAATAGCAAAAATAACAAAAAAAAATTTCTTTTTTAAATAAAATTGCTATTCTATGACTTTTTTATTTTGGCTATTTGTATACTTGAAAATCTTTATTTTCTGTTATTGTGAACTTCAACAAAATGATATATTCTTTTCATATGCAAATTGGTTCCGCCTTGTTTGTTTATGCATTCCTTTATTTTGTACCCGGGGGTGTATTTCGCTGTCGCACGTCTGAGTCCAGCTTCAGTTAGCTTGATGCTCCAAGCAGGTCAGTCATGTTTTAATTTGCCCTCCATCAGTTCTGGTATCTTTTCTAGTTAGCCCTAAAGTAATCTATATTATTTTATTTCGTAATGGTAATGTTAACCGAACCCTCCGGTTTAGCTTCTTTGTGTAAGTAACTTGTAGTTCTGATGTTAAAACCGAACTTTTCAGGAATAGTAGCTAACTAGCTGTGGGCTAGCTGGTTTCAGTTGCTAGCCAGGGTTTGGCGGGCTAGTGTCAGCTATGTGGAAAATGACGGTGTCGTTTTGGATGTAATCCAATACATATTTATTCATGTGGATTATTTCTATTTTATTTTGTCATTTGTAGAGTGTGGAAAGATTTAAAACTGATGTGTAACATCTATGGAATACCAAAGGTGCCAGAATTAATTAAATAAATACTCTACAATGATTATGAAATAGTATTTCAACAAAACAAAAGGGCAATAAAGTGTTCCTGTTTCTACTGAAATTGCGTGGCACAGACCTTTCTATGGATTGAAATGCTTTAATATGATTATGGTTATAGTTGTACTTTATTCATCCCTAATCTCTACCATTACAAACAACGAAACAAGAAAAGCTAAACTAGATAAAATAGGGCGATGTAATACAATGCACAATTAGACATTATGGTAAAACATTTTAACCAGTTAAGCCCCAAGCCTGTTTTTCAGGTC